TGATTTCCTGTGTCCTTATTATTTTCTAATTTACAGTTGCACAAGTGCTGCTGTTTTCTTACAGTGGCGAATTTATTTGACCTTTGTCGGGCTAATAACCTGTGTACCCCTTACAAAAGTAACATACGGTAACTGACACACATCTTTTTATGTGCTTACGTATCCACTTCACTATTTAAAATAGGTACGCCTTAGTATCTCGCACGAAAACTCCCCCACACCCCCCCCACCTACCCCCAAGCGTGCGCAGTTTGATGTTTTCTTCTTCTTCTTCTTTTTCTTCTTCTTCTTATTCTTTTTCTGAGATTGTCTTCCAGGTAAGCCTGATGACTAGTGTAATTCCACACATACACACTAACACACAAACACACTCACACAATGAGTTAGTTAGTTAGTTAGTTAGTTAGTTGGGTTATCATCATTGCACTCCAAACATGTCCATAGGTGCTCAGATCCTCCCCTCAGTATGAACCCCAACGTCCGATGGCTAATAGTACCAGTTCTATGTTGATTAACAAGTCTTCTGACGTGTCCGGTCTGCGTCTCGTTTTTCGCTGTGCCGATCTTAATTCCCAAGTCTGCCATTCTGGCGAGTGATGTGGATTCACTGCCACCAAAGTCCTCTATCCTTCTCATTTCTCTGAGGGCATTGATAATATCAGCATGATCCATAGGCCGACCGTCGGTAGTGATAGCGGATCCAGCCAACCTGTCAGCTCTTTCATTTCCATCGACGCCTGCGTGTCCCGGAACAAAAATAAAGGTGACTCCTCGCACAATTCTGAATTGATTCAAGCCATTGTCTTCGCACTGAACCTGCCTGAACCCTCCGGATCATACACAATGAGTATATCTAAGAAATTAGTTGATTTTCTACTATTAGGAATATTATTTGTGTGAATGAGAGAAAATATACGCCTTAGAATCTCGCACGAAACCCCCCTCCCCTCCCCGCCCTCTTCTTCTTCCTCTTCTTCTTCTTTCTTCTTCTTCTTCTTCTTCTTCTTCTTCTTCTTCTTCTTCTTCTTCTTCTTCTTCTTCTTCTTCTTCTTCTTCTTCTTCTTCTTCTTCTTCTTCTTCTTCTTCTTCTTCTTCTTCTTCTTCTTCTTCTTCTTCTTCTTCTTCTTCTTCTTCTTCTTCTTCTTCTTCTCCTTCTTCTTCTTTTCTTCTTCTTCTTCTTCTCTTCTTCTTCTTCTTCTTCTTCTTCTTCTTCTTCTTCTTCTTCTTCTTCTTCTTCTTCTTCTTCTTCTTCTTCTTCTTCTTCTTCGATTGGCTTCCGGATAAGCCTGATGACTATTGTAATTCCACACCCACACACACTCACACACTCATTCAATGAGTATATCCAAGAAATTTGTTATTTTCTACTATTAGGAATATTATTTGTATGTTTGTGTGATAACAAATATACCGTTTGAGTGAGTTTAGATTGTTTTAGTTTTAGACTGAAATGACTGAGCTACCGTATAACAGTAGTCGCCGCGATCACATAATGTTGAACAGTATAACTTAACCTTGTTATCCCACATTGTGCCAACCATTTGGGACAGAGAAGTACACTGCGGAAGAAACACGCATTACTTACGCTATTGGAGGAAATACAATTTGAAAACGATGTAATTACAGGGCAGACCGGACACATAGCCTTGTTTAGCGGCTAGTCTATGAGAGAAGTTCCGACAGGTGGACAGAAGAACATCGCTTTTCTGATCTGGTGGTTGCTGCGGCATGCTTTGTACCAAACTGGATGAAACACAGAGGCATCATGCTGCATGGGCAACATTTGGCCTCTACAAAAATGCCCATGTTTTGTGCTCTGCAGAAAATGAATGTTCCCTTGACCTTAATGGGCTGTGATTCCTACGCCCCTCCATAAAATAAAATACTACTATCCATCGGAAGCGATTGATCGATGCAATATCTGAGACTGAGAATACCAGCATTTAGGTAGCACATAGCAAGTCTCGCACGCGATGCCTCTTCAAAACCTGACGCTGAAAGGCAGAACAGAGGGTGTTGTGTGGTCACGAGGCATGGTGTCTGCCTCCGAGTGCTAGAGGTTCCGGGTTCAATCCCCAGTAAGGGCTGGGAAATTTTCACGTAGACTTGGACTTCTAATAATTCCCCCTAGTCTCTTGGTAGTGATATTAGACACCCGTGTGCATTGTTGCTTACGTAAAAAAAAAAAAATACATTGACAGTTGGAAATCGAAAAGAGTAGCCTAACGGCGCCGACCAGGCAAAATTTAGAGTTTAAAATCTACCCATAGTATTTCAGGATCCTTGCCGGGGCTACAGAGCCTGCCTGTGCACTGTGCTGAGCTTCTTCAGACTCAGACTTGTTTTTAAGAATAACGGATCACTTATGGGTTACACCGGTATACCATAATGTTGATCCGTTGTTCAAAACCACCTTCAAAACCTCAAAAGCAGAACAGGACGAGAGAAAAAGAAGAAGAAGAAGAAGAAGAAGAAGAAGAAGAAGAAGAAGAAGAAGAAGAAGAAGAAGAAGAAGAAGAAGAAGAAGAAGAAGAAGAAGAAGAAGAAGAAGAAGAAAAAGAAGAAGAAGAAGAAGAAGAAGAAGAAAGGGTAAGTGAGCTTAAGCACCCACCTTCTGCCCCCCCCCCCCCGTTCTAAAATTAAATACAGATTTATCGATCTATCCACCTAACCCACACATAAATCTCCAGTGCCACGTGTGTACTGCTAACTGCCACTTGATTCTTCCGCATCTGTTAAATCCTAACCCGGTCATGTCCATGAATCATAAGGTTTTCAACAGAACCCTGTTGTTAACGTTCAGCACACGAGAGAAGTTGAGAGTGTTTAAGGCACATCTAAATTAGCCGAGTTACAGATGTCTCTCTGATGTTGTCACTACTTTTAGTTGCCTCGGAATTGGGTTTGATAACTTCTGAAGTCTCGACGTGCCTTCCACACGTAGGCATTCATCTGCAATAATAACATTGAAGAATTCGAGGAATTTGCGATTTCAAGATTGCCCGGATTGGGTCAGATTTTTGAGATACTTTAGTGAAATGACATTTACAGGGTGGGTCATCTGGCATAACTTGGCGGGCGAGGGATCCACACTCCAGGGTTGAAGAGGAGGGGCCAGGGAACATGCCAATAGTAAAGCTCTTTCATATCCTGTAGATGATCGCAAAGAGATCAAGCCGTCGACCGAAGGGGTCGAGATGTCAGTCAGAGTGGTGAGGCCGTTAATCGAAGTGGGAAACGGTTACCCCGTTGTTGAAAGTAGTCAAGCCGACAATCGAACTGGTAAAGCCATCATTCAAAGAAGTAATTTGGTCATGTCATAGATCAGAGTGGAAAGCCGTCAATCAGAGTGGTGAAATCGCCATGTCATAAATAAGATTGGACAAGCCGTCAGTCGAACTGGTCAAGCCGTCGAGTCTTCTGAGTTTTGTACCCTTACTGGATACTGTTCTATTTAAATTTAAAAAAAAAAATTAAAATCACAACCACGTTCCACCTGCTGTTGGCAGCGAACCATCAGCAGGCTCCGGTTATATTCGTGGTCTGCTTTTTTGCGCCACTTTCGTCGCTAGAATTATGATATGTGCGCTAGCTTTCTGGCTTTTGTCCCTGTCCTCACAGGCAGACCGTTCCTTTCTACCTCGGTCCCCATGTATTCCTTTTATCACTGTCTTCCTGGAGTTATCCTTCCTGGGTCATCCTCCGTCCAGTTCCATTTCCTTATTATCTTTCCCTTGTGTCTCTTTTATGTGTCCGATTCAGTCCCTCCCTGTTGTGGCCAGGCGTATCTCGTAAGAGACCGAGCCAGTTCTACATAAGGTTCTTTTTGACCACAATTTACAGTTTTCAAATTTTGATTTTTTTTTTTCACTTTACCAAAAGTAGTGAAAACTTTGTACCCTTGTCCGAGAAAACTAGACATTCGATCAACTGCATAAACGGAAACGGAAGTTTGCGCTTTCCTGAATATGAAACAGTCTAAAACAAGCCAGAAGAGGACAACGTGACCTCTAAGCTAGTTCACCACAGTAAACAATTACCTGGTCCGTCATTGAATTACCTGTCAAATGTTCCTTAGAAATACAATATGCAATCCGTGCATGCCCATTACCCAACTGATAACAGGACTCATTGATTGCTTGTATATTGCATCTTCATGTTGAGGTTATTGTCCTGAGCGGGCATTCAGCCGCGAGGGACACAATCCGCTTACGTGGGTATTCCTAGCGTGTCTGGCATTTTCAGCTGATCTGTTGTTAAAGAAGATCATTGGGGTCAGAGCTATTGCCATTGTGGCGTATGTGGCATACGGTGTTGAGCTCGTATTTATTTCACTGAAGAATATGTGGTCATTATGATGTCTCTAAATCTGTACTGGCTCTTAATCGACCCCTTCTTTCCTCATCCTCCAGCTTCTTCTTCAGAAAATAAGGTGGAAAAAACAGGAGTAGAAATAAAACAGAAGAAAGAACTAAGGACAGAGGAGGTAAAAGAAGAAGAAGAAAGTTGCGCGTTAGTTGTGTGTCCTAACACACGGAATTTTTTTTTCTATTGTGGTTTTTCTAGGCCAGTTTACGTTCAGTAGTTTGCTAGCGTTTCTAAACGGTCGATTGTCTATACCACTGTCGAAACTAACGCAAGGCGGTCTGCTGCCAAATCGCCTGCAACTAGGATCAAACCTAGCACCCCGGCATTCGCAACGCTTAATCCACAGGCACTGACAGAAGAAGAAGAAGAAGAAGAAGAAGAAGAAGAAGAAGAAGAAGAAGAAGAAGACGAAAAAGAAAACGGAAGAGGAGAAGGAGGAGGAAAAGGAATTTGCACCAGGACAAGGTACCTAGAACTCGCTGGCAGACGATAAATCCGCGCCTGTACTTTACGCGGGAAATAAAGTTAATGTGACATGATCAATTTAAATCTGTTGCAGTGTTAGCTTGCCACTTGTCCTTGCCACCGTTAGCCCTTTAATGAAGATGTACCGGCTGTTTAATTTCCTACAGATGCGGACTGTTTTCTTTGTCGCTGTTGATAGCTTGATCTCCACGTCGACTTGTGGGATGCCTGGTGCCCGGATGGTGTACCTGCTGCGTAATTTGGGCGCTCAGATTAACCGCCAGAATGAGGTGAGTTTAACGTTGTCCAGTGTTTACGGGTGAGGATGCGTGCACCTGATTGCATCCCTTGTGGATGCGTGTTTAACTAAGGTGCACTCACTTTTAATGTTTGTTTAGCGTGTCTTTACCAGGCTGATTATGAAATTAGTATCATCAGTCATGTTCATTTGATTTGGAATATCTGTCATCTGAGATTCACACCCGCTACCCTTATTTGTGTGGATCTAAATGTTTATCATCAACTTTTATAATTAGATCTAAATGTTTATCGTCAACTTTTATAATTGGATCTTAATGTTTATCATCAACGTGTATAATTGGATCTAAAGGTTATATCATCGTTAAAGTCACTTACAATACAAACCACGTACACCAACCATGCGTGCGTTATTTCAGATAAAGTCTAATGTATAACATGTGTGTCTTTTCTAATGCCGGTAAGCTTAGGTCATCTCAAACGATCATAAGAATCACAGATAAATTTAATATTTTTGTCTCGCCTCATCTATCTCGCCACCCCATTCAGGTATTTATGTATTTTTCTTCCTTTTGCTCTCTTTCCACCAATCTTACCCAATCTTTAGCAGGTTCTGGAGCCCATTGCTTCTCATAACATATCCAGGAAACATAGACTGTCTACGTCTAACCGTTGTAATAAGTTTACGAATTTCACCTGACTCGGTGAGGACTACTTCTAAATCAGTCTAAATATCTAACATCTGCGTGCTTCCACTAATAAAATCGGAATGTCCAACATCAATGTGCCCTCTTCTAATTAGATCTAATTGTCTAACCTCTGTGTTCGTCTTCTGATCTAGCTAAATGAAGTCCATATATAGGACCTAACTTGAAAGTTAGTAAGTTAGTCGTTACGGTTCCGGCATGACAGCAAACGAGCTTGGCCCATAATTGCTTAACCGCCTATGCAGTGATTCCAGTCACAAACTGAGTCAGATACGCTGGATACTTCAAGTGAATGTCGTAGCCCTACAAAGTGTCCTCAGTCAGCAAAACACACCCGATTTGATCTGGCAAACCATAAGGTGCATGCCTCCTTAAACACACTGCGAGACCAGGCGTCATCGGTGAAAATCAACTTCATTCGACGAATAGCTGGGCGATGAGTAGACTAAAACTATTCCTGACCATTCTCCATGTGTCCTCGACCAAGTTGCAGACAAGGTCAGCAAATAAATAGCAGCTATAGCACACGCCTTGTCCCAAGAACACAACGAAGAAAAATACATCACAGATCATTGCCACCTAACTTGAAAATTATAAGAGTTCCTAAAAATGAGACAAAACCTAAACATAAGACATAACCAGAAAATAAGCATAACTGGAAAATGAGACAGTTCTCAGAAAATGAGACATAACATGAAAATAAGATATAACCTGAAAAAAGACACGGACTGAAAAAGACATAAACTGAAAATGAGACATGACCTGAAAATAAACCCCAGCATGATTTTTCAAACTTCCAAGCATGATTGTTCAGAATGTTCCTTAGTTAAGATCGTCAGCCAGACCGGCGGATTTCATTCTGTTATTGTGCTGACGGGCAGACTGAATTATAAAATAATGAAATATAAATACAAATAAATAAATAATAAAATTAACAATAATGCTTTAAATATATGACAATTTAAATGTAGAGTTGTGTACATTAAAAAAAAAGCGTCTCTTAAGCTAAGCCGTGAGGCGTCTCTTGGAGCAAAACGTGAATATAAGATCCTGGCTCATATTCTGGAAACCATGAGAAAACCTTATAAAATCTTAACAACAAAGAGAACTGGCTCATAAACAACGGCATGTCTAGGAAACTGTGTTTTATTGGTCACATTAAACATTACTGTAGTTTAGAATGAGCTGTAGTGGAAGAAATGAAATCTCTTTTGTTTATCTTCCTTAGACATTAATTGAGCCAACTCACATTTACTAACCATTCTTTTACATGTGCCCATGTGCTATTGTGGGTTTTAAATGTTTATATCTGAACCATCATGGTAAATTGTATAACATTTAAATCTTTATTTGCAGGTAAGATGCTGAATAATCAAAAATATGAAGTACTTGTGGAAATAGATTCACTTAGTTTTCTGTGTGTGTTCCAGAACTCTAACTGGGGATAGGGGGATAGGCTGTGTTAGAGAGAATAGATCCACTGCCTCTTAACAACACGTTGTAACAGGCAACTAATTGCGGATTTTCTGAAATCTGATGCGTTGGTTTGAAAGGCACGGATTTCACAGACTAGCTGTAAACCACAAGACAATGTGTTAAAGTTCTTGTATGTGTGAACATAGAAGAAGAAGACTGACTAAGCCCTAGATCTAGTTAAACAGTTTGATGTAAAATAATTCATGATATTATCATTCCACAGATCTATGTCAATTAATTATGTTATCACTCCTACAACTAAATCGGATGACGAGTGACTGACGTTCAACTGCAGGCCTTCTCTGGCTAAAGACGGCATTGTTCAACCTCACAGCGAGCGATGAACACCCGGTGACACAAAGTGCCACAATTTTTATGAGAGTCACCCAGGGGCAAGTCCTATAAAACCCGTTCAACCTGTAGGTTGTACTTGAGGTCACCGACGACAGTCAGGTGGATTTTTAAAATAAAACTTAACATTGCCTCCTACATTGAGACTGGGATTGTTGTGGATAAGGATTGCTGTAGATAAGGATTGCTGTAGATAAGGATTGCTTTGTACCACTCCACAAAGTCTGTCTGTTTTGACTAAATAAATTACACATATAAAGGAGATGATTTATTATGCGTGGTTTAATGCGCTGTATTCAGTTTCCTGTATTTCATGTTGTTGGTTTTTTTTTTGTCCCAGTAAACCAGACTTCTGAATTAACTTGTCTTAACTATAAAAGATGAATTAATCAAGTAACATAAAGTATATTGATCGGCACTCATAGAAAGAAGTAGAACTAGAAAAGATGTATGAGAAGAAAGGGAAGCAATCCGACGTGAGCACGTCTCAATTTGTGGCAAAGCTGTATGCCTTTACGAAATCTCACTGTATCCTAGTTATTCTCTCTATCTGCTTCTCCTTATTCTTGGCCCCCTTTTCGCCTTTACCGGCTGTAAACTCCAGCGGATAGTTCTGGCTGTTCGTCTACATCTGGACTTTGGCCGGTTCAGAACTTGAGTTTTTGATGCACATCCTTTTTACAGAGTTATCTTTTATGTATGCCGACTGTTCGTTTATCCTAGAATTATCAGGATAGTTCTTACTGGGGCAGTGGGTCTGTTACCACCACACCCCCTCAACAATAGGGCGCGGAGACCCTCATAGGGAGTTCCTAATATTACGTTCAACAGATGAAATGCCTATTTAGCCGCCATGTTGAAAAGATATTAAACCAACAAAAGTCAGGGACCCCTTACAGTCACGAACAACAGGTGAACGTTGCAGCTAGAAAACTTTCATCAGCACTTGACATGAATAGACAGTGTTACAACTTACAGATGACAGACCCACCCAAAACTTAAAAATCTCTTAAGTAAGTAAGTAAGTTGTACACCACCAGGACATCACACAAGCGATAAACACAAAGTGACACCTTGCGGATTAGGATCAGCTGTGGAGAGGTGCCGGTAACCCCGTTCAGTCGTCAGGCTATATTTAGGGCCCCTGGCAAAATCCGTGGCAGTTATGGAGTGAACATACTTTTTTCCCAATAATTAAAAAGGTAACGAGAGCTGGCTAACTGATGGTCATTATAACATACTAGCCAACACAGAACCGATTAGCTTCTGTTGAATGGGGTTTCTATGATTAGCTTCTTTTAAATGAGGTTTCTATGATTAATTTCTATTTAACAGGGTTTCTATGAGTAGCTTCTGTTGAATGGGGTTTCTCGCATTAACTTCTGTTGAATGGGGTTTCTAGGATTAGCTTCTGTTAAATGAGGTTTCTATGATTAATTTCTATTTAACGGGGTTTCTAAGATTAGCTTCTGTTGAATGAGGTTTCTAGGATTAGCTTCTGTTGAATGGGGTTTCTAGGATTAGCTTCTGTTAAATGAGGTTTCTATGATTAATTTCTATTTAACGGGGTTTCTATGAGTAGCTTCTGTTGAATGGGGTTTCTCGCATTAACTTCTGTTGAATGGGGTTTCTAGGATTAGCTTCTGTTAAATGAGGTTTCTATGATTAATTTCTATTTAACGGGGTTTCTAAGATTAGCTTCTGTTGAATGAGGTTTCTAGGATTAGCTTCTGTTGAATGGGGTTTCTAGGATTAGCTTCTGTTGAATGGGGTTTCTAGGATTAGCTTCTGTTGAATGGGGTTTCTAGGATTAGCTTCTGTTGAATGGGGTTTCTAGGATTAGCTTCTGTTGAATGGGGTTTCTCGCATTAACTTCTGTTGAATGGGGTTTCTAGGATTAGCTTCTGTTGAATGGGGTTTCTAGGATTAGCTTCTGTTGAATGGGGTTTCTAGGATTAGCTTCTGTTAAATGGGGTTTCTTGGATTAGCTTCTGTTGAATGGGGTTTCTAGGATTAGCTTCTGTTAAATAGGGTTTCTTGGATTAGCTTCTGTTGAATGGGGTTTCTCGCATTAACTTCTGTTGAATGGGGTTTCTAGGATTAGCTTCTGTTGAATGGGGTTTCTTGGATTAGCTTCTCTTGAATGGGGTTTGTAGAATTAGCTTCTCTTGAATGGGGTTTCTAGGATTAGCTTCTCTTGAATGGGGTTTCTAGGATTAGCTTCTCTTGAATGGGGTTTATAGGGTTAGCTTCTGTTGAATGGGGTTTCTAGGATTAGCTTCTGTTAAATGAGGTTTCTAGGAATAATTTCTATTTAACGGGGTTTCTAAGATAAGCTTCTGTTGAATGAGGTTTCTATGAGTAGCTTCTGTTGAATGGGGTTTCTAGCATTAGCTTCTGTTGAATAAGGTTTCTAGGTTTGGCTTCTGTTGAGTCCACATTAATTAACGGCTTTTGTCACTGGGTTTCAGTCTCTCTAGCTGCAGCCTAGAATAAGACATTTTTTTTTTCAAAGTTAACTGACTATTTTAGAATGTTCAAAAATCATTTTTAGGCCGGCGCTGCTGTAATATCCACTTTGAGTACTAGCATCTGTTTTTTCAGACACTTTATAGTGAGTTTTGGCTCCCATTTTTCTAGAAAATAAAGCACCATGCTTTAAACACAGGATATGATTGTTTCAATCTGAGAATTCAATGTTTTCCTACTTGAAATCTCACAGGATGGCAACACCCCACTGATGTGTTATCTGAAAGCTGGAACCCCAGACTGTGACATCGTGGAGGCCTTTCTTCGATGCAATGCTGACTTCTATATTGTCAACAAGGTAACGATTTTTCTGTCACACATGGCTACACATATCTTTTTATGTATGCAATGATACTGTAACTAGTTCTGTTTGAAAGACCTGTTACTGTAACTTGTTCTGTTCAAAAGACCTGTTACTGTAACTTGTTCTGTTTGAAAGACCTGTTACTGTAACTTGTTCTGTTTGAAAGACCTGTTACTGTAACTTGTTCTGTTTGAAAGACCTGTTTCTGTAACTTGTTCTGTTTGAAAGACCTGTTACTGTAACTTGTTCTGTTCAAAAGACCTGTTACTGTAACTTGTTCTGTTCAAAAGACCTGTTTCTGTAACTTGTTCTGTTCAAAAGACCTGTTACTGTAACTTGTTCTGTTCAAAAGACCTGTTACTGTAACTTGTTCTGTTCAAAAGACCTGTTACAGTAACTTAATGATAAAAGTTCAAAGTTAAAACTAGGAGGATCAACTGCATTACACTGAGTTTTACCCCTTATGTCTTGGTCTCTCTCAGCAGAATGGCTGGCCACCTTCCGGTAGCGTCACACACAGCACAAACTCCGTAGCTGTGATGCTGATCTCCAGGTGTCTTTGTAAAAATTGTACTCATAAACAAAACTACGCAGCCATGAAATGAACCCACAACCTTCAGAGGATGAGGAAACGGCTTGACTACTTTGCCTTGCAAACACCCCCCCCCCCCCCCCACAACAAAAAACACACACACACACATACACACACATAAATACACACATGAATCATAGGTGGGTGTAAAGGAGTTGAACAGATGGAGCTGTGGTGGTTAGATACTTGCCTGCCTGCTCAAGGGTCTTAGGTTCGAATCTGCATTGTCAAACATTTTTTTTTTTTCAAAATTGACTTTGGTCCCTGGGTTGACCTAGCCTACAGCCGGTACCAGGTCATGGCCTGAATTTTTGTTAAAAATGACCAAGATTCCAAATGTTCTCTGCTTGTTTTTCTCTTCCTCTAATGTCTTAGGCACATTTTCAGAGACTTTAATAATGCATTTCCATTTGACAAACAACAACAACAAAACCATTTAATTGTAATTAAAAATAAAAATAAAAACTGTTACAGCGTGAAAGGGTTAAGCCTGTTCTTCATCGTCATCATCATTTTGTTCTGCCATTTATATGTACTGCATATCTCACCATCAGTTCCTCCTTTCTATCCTTTTTACCCTATCCTGTGTAGGTGGTCATTTTGATGTTGTATATAGAATCCAGGTCGTAGAGCAAGAGGTAGACCAAGAACAAGATGGAAGGATAACATCAGAGAAGCTCTACAACAGCACGATGTGCCTATGGTCGAGGCGGCCAGAAGAGCCAGAAACAGAACCTTATATCTCCCTCGACACCCACAGCGGTAAAAGAGGAAGTGAAGAAGAAGATATAGAATCCAGCCCAGCAACTTTGACCTCTCTCATCAACATTCATGTTCAGGTCCTCAGTATATTTGTTTCCCTTTTCAGTGCCTTTGTTTTGTATTCTTTGTCATCTTCACCCCAGAGTGTGTCCAGTATATTACCCATTTCTTTCTGTTTTAAATGCTGATGCCAGCTCTTGTACAACCATGCCTCTGAAGTCAGAACTTGAGTGAAGTAAATTGATGTGGTGACTGCCCAGGATGAGGGGGGGGGGGGGGGTGTTACCTGCAGTCTATGCTTGCTGTAAGAAGCAGTCCTTCCCTAGTCTCTAGACATGTACAAACCTTACACTCTAGTTTCAGTTCTGTTAACTCTTTCAGTCCCAGGCATGTGTTCAGCCCTTCCTTTCTACACAGTCCCTACTAAAATTGTAACTGCTTGGATAAGAAGAGATTCAGATGATAACACTATGGGTCAGAAAGTAATAATTTGGATATAACGGAAACATCTTACAGCTGGGTGGAGTATAAGAAGGTCAGAATACCCAGTGAGGTCAGGGAACCAAAATAAACCTGTGCTAATTGGATTGGTACTGCTAGCTAACAAGCAAAACACTTTTGTAAAAACCATACTGAAGGAGGAACAACTTAAATGCAAGTAAGCAAGAGGTAAACATCGAAACAAGTGGGAGATTGTTGAACATCGGTCTGAGAGAATGTGCATCCAGAATGAAAGATGACATGTTTTTGAGATCCATTGCAGCCAGCCTTCATTGCTGAAAGGACACCTAATCGATTGTAACTTACACGTGTACATTATGTGTAATGTTTTACATTTCAGCAAGGTGAGTTCCCCCTGGAGCTTGTCACCACGTCACCTGACATTCCATGTGCTGTACGCGATGTCTTTATGAGTTATGTGGTGAGTAATGATTTTGTTGTCATATAGAAACTGACTCACCACATTGACTAGTCTTCTTAAATCTTTGAGTCCCAGGGGGTTTAGCATCACAGGCCCAGGGGGTAGTAAAGAAGGTAATAAAATCGGCGCATCGTGCGTTCACTGGGCTTCTAAGTAGGAACATATGAACGTATGATGCGTTCCTTGGGACTCAAAGAGTTAATATGTGGGTTCCGGGCCCTATTGGGGGAGAGGGGGGGGGGGGGAATAAACCCACTGCCCTCTTATGCATTTACCTGGGAGGCAAAGAAGTCTGTGTACAAATAAGCCAGATCTGTAAAGTGGATGGCCATGCAAAAGAATTCAGATTATGGAACAAGACCTCGATCCAGGTGAGAACTATGTCAGGTAATGTTAAGAAAAAGAAGATTCTAAACTCAAGTTAATCAACTTATGGAGTCACTCCCATGTGAGAGAGATTTTGCTATCTCTGTATGTTTATTTAGTACTGTATATGTTTAAGGATATGTTTTTACATTTTCTTTTCAAATTAACTCAAAGGAACGCATCAGACATTCATAGGTTTGTGCTTAAAGGCCCAATGAACGCAAGATGTGCTGATTTTACATCTTTCTTGACTACCCCTTGGGCCTCTGATGCTAAACCCCCTGGGACTTAAAGAGTTAAGTGGTGAAGTGGCTTGGAGGTATGAGGCCAACCTCTGGTTGTAGCACAAGTCCAATTCATAGTGCAGATGGATTGTCTGGATCTTTGCAATAAATAAGAAATCTAAAGATAGCCTCCTTCTACTGCTAACAATGCCACATAAGCTTGTCTAGCTCAGTTAGGGGAGCATAAAACTCTGATCTCATGGTTGTGGGTTCAAGCCCAATGTTGAGCTTAACTTTGGGGATCTCTTTGGCAAAGTGGTCATAGCATATGCTTCACGTCTTGAAGGTCATGGGTTCATTTTATGGTTGCATCATTCAGTTTACGAGTGCAATTTGTATGGAGATCCCTGAAGATCGTCACCAGAGCCATTGAGCAGATACTTTGTGCAACACTTTTGGCAGGCAGCTAGCCATTCTGTGGAAAGAGACTGGACGGCATGGGATAAAACCCAGTTCAATTAAATCAGTTCTCTCAACTTTAACTTTATCTGTCATTTTGACAACATCGGCTCACCATAGATAGAGTTTAAAGAGGTGTACATCAAGGATATGTTTTATCCCAAAGCCATCTCAGTTTGTATACAGAAACAATTTTTAAACAAGTTTGAGAATTATCTGGACTGAATATTAATGGAAGATTAATAAACAATCTGAGATATGCTGATGACACCGTCTTACTAGCAGAAAATGAGCAGGAGTTATGGGACCTGGTAAATTCTTCTTCTGCCTTCCATCTCCTAATGAAACCTCAGTAAATTCATGTCAGACCTTTTACAGTCTTCATGAATTCTGGAGCTAAAATGTTCTACACATTGAGCTAGCCATCATATATCACCAACTTTCCTTAGTCATCTCTTAGGACATGCATCATCATCATGTAGCAGGTCCTTTACAGAACGTCGCTCTCATCACAGTCTGCCTGATAGAAACTCGGTCTCTTGCCAGTTCCCCCGCCTCATGAACTTTGACACTCAAGGAGTCACTTATATCCTGTGCCCATCTTCGTGTAGGTCGGCCTCTGCCCTTCCTTCCTGGTACCATGCCTTCTGCTATAATTTTTTCCAATCCGTCGTGGCGCTTGATATGACCAAAATATTTCAGCTTTCGAGAAAGGATGCTGTTTATTAGCCAATCTTCCTTGATGTTCAGATCTTTTAAGATGTCAATATTTCTCATCTTCTTTGTCGAAGATATTCTGAGAATCTTTCTTTAGCATTTCAGCTCAAAAGCCACTATTCTCTTTCTTAAGGACTGAGAGATAGTCCACGACTCACATCCGTATGTAGCCACAGGGAAGATGCATGCTCTAAAAATTCTAATTTTTATCTCCTTGCTTGTGCTTAACCATAGACATGCATAGCAGATTTGAAAAAAAAAAAAAATTTTGTCATCCCCGAAATGGAGGCTGGCTGCAATATTATATCCACTGCTGACAATGGGAATATAACTTTATAAATTACCATTGTTATCATCCCCTTGTGGGATGCAATTTTTTGTTATCTGAAGCCCCGCCCTGGCTTTTGCTGGGGGCCCTGAATATAGCTGGGCTACTTTTGTGGCCATAATGGCTGAAAGGGGTTTCTGGGACCTCTCCACGGGTGATCCTCATCCGTATGATGGCACTTTGTGTCATCGGGTGTTTGTCGCTTGTGTGATGTCCTGGTGGGGTAGAAAGTCAGTCAGTCATCCGTATGATGGCACTTTGTGTCACCCATTGTTTATAGCTAGTGTGATGTCCTGGTGGAGTACAGAGAGAGAGAGAGAGAGAGAGAGAGAGAGAGAGAGAGAGAGAGAAAGAGAGAGAGAGAGGGAATATTACTTGGTGAGTTCCCAATCTTACCGCTCTACCTATGTACCAGTCCTGACCTAAGGGTGTGAGTCATGGGCAATGACAACAGCTCACAGAAGCCAGCTGCAGGCCTCGGAAATGGGATATCTGAGAAAGGTGGTCCAAGTGACAAGAAGGGACAAACTCCGCAATCAGACAAAACATCAAGATCTTGATACCCAGTCCTTACAAACCCAAGTGGATCAGTCACAGTTACGATCGTTTGGACATGTATGCAGAATGGGAGAAAATCGGCAGGCATGGGAGGCTAAGAACCAGGGAACCAGACCTCCAGGACGACCCAGGGTGCGCTGGGAAGACAACATCCGACAGTCCCTAACTGACAGAGGACTGGAATGGAACAAAGCCAGAAAGAAAACTGCTGATAGAGACGTCTGGCGATCTCTCTGGCAAACCTCTACACCCCAGGGTAGAAGAGAAGTGACTATGTAAGTAGGTAAAAGTTCCCAATCTCTTCCACTGTGTCCTTCACACCATTGTAAGAAAACAATGAGAAAATGGCTTTTTCCTAAACTGCCCACCGGTGGAATGGAACCATGGTCAACGTTGATAGGAACTAGCATTGTTGAATCCTGACAAGCATATTGCCTGTCTGCAGCAAAATAACTACAAATTCCTAAGTCAAAACAGCACAGAACTATAGAGTGATTGTAATATTGAATAGTCTTGTCCATGCTCTATGTTATATGCGTGTGTTGCAGATGAGATTTTTACTATTACATCAAGTTTAAAATCAATTCAAGACGGACATTTAATGACAGTGTTACTGGTATCATGGGAATTAGAACTGTCTTCTGGCTTCCGAAAATAAAGACAGAGCATGAATGGGAATGTCCCAAGGGATGTCATTCCTTAATTCAACTCAGCTCAAGGTTTAAACTTAAGTGGTTCAGATTCATTGCACCAAGGTTTACTGTCAGTGGCTCAGTATCTCTTCACTGAGTTTCTGCGCACTCACAGAGGGTTTCACACAAAGTACAAAGTGCATAGTTGCCGTAGTGGCCCACAAGGTTCTCTAAATAAACCGCCTGTGCTTTCAAACAGAATGACTCCAAAACTGAGAGTACAATGTTCAGAGCTCGAATGCTGTAATTCCTTTCTTCACTTCTAGGCCCCAATAAACACTTGGCTGCTTTCATACGTTCTTCATCCGGTGCTCATCACCTTTGTTCCATGGATATGCCCTAGTGGGCTGCCAAACATTTCTGCCTAATCTTGTTACAACTATATGATTTTGTTTGGTTTTTTAATGGTTTTTTTTTTGCCCGCTTCATAATTGCAGTCTGTATAAGTTGCATCTCAAAGATGACAATCAAAGAAGATCAAATACCGGAAACCCTGTTCAACCATATAGCCATAGAGCACAGTTACACGATTCCAGCAATATAGAAAATGAGACGATAAGGCATTTTTTCATGTTGTCAGATGGTCCACAAAAGAATTTCCTTTTCTCTGCCAGTCCACAAGTGTTAAAAGGTTGAAGAACATTGTTGTGTTTTATGTCTTACCTTATCTGGTATGTCTGCTAGATGTTAATGATAATGTTGCCATTTTGTCTATGTAAAAAGTAAACACTGTTTCTTGATCTAACAATTACAAGCATTTTCTTGTAACTTTTGAATGTAAACTGGTCTATAATGGATATTTCTGCTTGTGTGTCACCACTGGTCGACCTCCTACAGCCTGGGATCTGGGAAGCTGTGGTCACCGATGACGCTATGAGTGTGCGCAGACTCATCAATGAATGGTGTCGGGTTGATGTCCAGAAGGTTTGAATATTTGATTAATTTTCTATATTTGGTTTTGTCTCTGTATGATTACTCTCTACCCTTCCCCAGCCCCATTCCAACAAGCATCTCTTAACTCTTTGAGTCCCAAGAAGCGCATCATACGTTCATAGATTCCTACCTAGAAGCCCAATAAACGCAAGATGCGCTGATTTTACGTCTATCTTGGGCCTGTGATGCTAAACCCCCTGGGACTCAAAGAGTTAAAAACCAACTAATTAGGGCTGTTTTATTCAAAGTCAGTGTACATCTGCCTGAGAAGTAAGGAACTAACAGTGTTGAGAGCTCCCAAACATATTGCTTGTCTACAATAAAATAACTACAAATTCTTAAGTCAAAACAGTACGGTACAACAGAATGCTTGCAATGTCGAATAGTCTTTGCGTGTACTTGCTTGCAGCATTTTTCAACTTCTTCAGCATTCCGAGCACATGGGATTCACTGCTGCAGATATCCCCTGCCTCCATTCATCTCTGTGATTGGTTATGTCTTTCCTGTTGGTGGCTCCAAGTGTGTGTAGGTCTGCCTGAATATTATCTCTCCACTCTCTTCTTGTTCTTCTTCTTTGCACCGTTAGTTCCTTGCAATTTATTTACTGCTGCTCTTTCAGTACTTATGTCAGTTTCACTCCCATACATCTACTTTGTCTTTTTGTCTTTACCTTTCTTCTACTCGGACTGTATGACAGTCCACTAACAGAATTATGAAAGGTCATTGATCCCCCTGAGCCATTAATTGAGTGATTGGCTAAGTAGTGTTAATTATCCAAGTAATAAAATACATTTTAATAGAGACAACAACAAGGAGAGAGACATCTTGCTGAGACATAATTGAGACACTAGACAATGGACTATGATGGTGAAAAAAAAACAATGAGAGAAACAAGATACATTAGAATTATATATACCTGATGTCAGTTCAACAATGTATTCTGACCCTGTTTGCTGACTTCTCTGTTGTATTTCAGAATGGCAAAACTTTACTGCAGATGGCCTTAGAAATGGGCACTGAAAACATTATACGAGTTGTTAGTGGGATCCGGCCATCCATGGTGAGTTGTGGAAATATCAGTTTGTGACATGTCTGCAGTAATTTAACTTCATGTGGCAGGTCCCTTGCAAAATATCACTGTTATCTCAGTCTGCCTGAAAGACACACAGTCTCTCATTAGCTCTTTTGCCTGGTGCAATTTCCTATCCAAGATGTCACATATCCTGTGGCCATTTTCGAGCTGGTTGGCCCCTGCCCCTCTTTCCTGGTACCATGCCTTCTGCTGCTGTTCTTTCCAGTCTGCCGTGGTGCTTGATATGGCCAACATATTTCAGTTTTTTGAGCATGATGCTTTTTACTATGTATAGTAATTTATTATTTACATAATTAAGAATTGGCATTATTGCACTCAGAACATAATCATATACCCACCATCTGTCTTCAGTAGCCAGCAGAAAGATCCTATGCTGGTGTTTCAGTGGTTCTAGTAGCAACCTGATGAAAAGCGAGGTATTTTAAAATGCCTATATAAACGACTGGTAGTTTTACACACAATAACAGATAAGGTAACATATTAAAGTATGACTGAGTTTGGAGATAAGCACCCTTAATATCTGCAAGTACCTTGCTAAGTACCTATTACACACAATAACAGATAAAATAACATATTTAAGTATGATTGAGTTTGGAGATAAGCACCCTTGATATCTGCAAGTACCTTGCTAAGTACCTACAAGTACAATGCTAAGTACCTACAAGTACCTTGCTAAGTACTTGCAAGTGCTATGCTAAGAACCTACAAGTACCCTGCTAAGTACCCACATGTATCATGCTAAATACTTGCAAATACCATGCTAAGTACTTGCAAGTACCTTGCTAAGTACCTACAAGTACCTGCAGGTACTAGGCTAAGTACCTGCAAGTACCATGCTAAGTAGCCTACAAATACCATGCTAAATACCTACGAGTACCATACTTAGAACCTACAAGTACCATGCTAAGTACCCACAAGCACCATGCTAAGTAGCCTACAAATACCATGCTAAATAGCTACAAGTACCATACTTAGAACCTACAAGTACCATGCTAAGTACCCACAAGTACCATGCTAAGTAGCCTACAAATACCATGCTAAATACCTACAAGTACCATACTTAAAACCTACAAGTACCATGCTAAGTACCCACAAGCACCATGCTAAGTAGCCTACAAATACAATGCTAAATACCTACAAGTACCATACTTAGAACCTACAAGTACCATGCTAAGTACCCACAAGTACCATGCTAAGTAGCCTACAAATACTGTGCTAAATACCTACAAGTACCATACTTAGAACCTACAAGTACCATGCTAAGTACCCACAAGTACCATGCTAAGTAGCCTACAAATACCATGCTAAATACCTACAAGTACCATACTTAGAACCTACAAGTACCATGCTAAATACCTACAAGTACCATACTTAGAACCTACAAGTACCATGCTAAGAACCTACAAGAACCATGCTAACTACCTACATTTGCCCTGCTCCCAGGAGTTTGCCCACAGTGTTCTGGCTGGAGACACTCAGATGGTCAAGCGCATGCTCAGGCTCAAGCTCAAGATCAATATCAACTTCAGGAATCTAGTAAGTTGATCATTTTCATCATTATGTCAGAACTGTATGGAGAATGTCAACAGAAGCATCCATGTAATACCAGTGCTAGTAAAGGAAGCTCAAGTGGTCAGAGAAAGTCATCATCATCTTCATCATCTGTTTCCACTGTTGTCATTCAGCACTGGGAGGTGGAACAGTTTATGATTCAATGTTTTAGGGATAGCACAATGACTTTGGTGATTCTTAAATATCATCAGTCCATGGTCTCCTTGGGCGCCCTTTTGCATTCAATTCATAGCATTGTGGGTATGGCTGCATGTTTATGCAGCATTATAGTGGGTGAGAAGTCCTCTGCACAAAGAGAATCTGAGTAATATAGAATAAACATCGATGCAGTGAAGAAGGTCATCTTTCCTTTAACTCGTTGAGACCCAAACAACGCAGAATGCATGAATCACCCTTTCTGCTGAATCACCTTCTTAGCATCTTAATTTTTCTAATTGGTCAGAAGAGTAAAAAATCTGGCTTCTCCAGTGGTCACTACTACTTTTGTATTACCGCTTTGAAAATAATGCATTGTTCAATTTTAATCAGTGATATCTCTTCACTGGCATCTCCTACTAAAACTCCATCTGGTACTGAAAGTGTTAAATACCCTTTATTTGTTGCCCCACTATCTGAGCTACAAGTTCAGCTTATCTTTTGCCCTCTCTCTGTCTCTCTTTTGCTATTTCCGTTTCTCTGCTTGTTTCTTTCAATCTGAATCTCTTTGTCATCATATCTCTAAACATTTATTTGAATGTAGAAATGCAAACTCCATGGCTGATTGGAAAAACTAATAGCAGAAGGCATGGTACCAGGAAGGAGGGGCAGGGGCAGACCAACACAAAGATGGGCACAGGATATAAGTGACTTATTGAATATGAAAGTACATGAGGCAGGAGAGCTAGCAAGAGACTGAGTTTCTTTCAGGCAGACCGTGTTGAGAGCGACGTTTTGCAAAGGACCTGCTACATGATTATGATGATAGTGATGATAATAAGTAAGTGACTGTGTGCGCGTGTGTGTTTGTTTTGTACTTCAGATGTTTATAAAAATTGCCTTACAGGGAGACAGAGGCAAGACTCCTATATTCTATGCCTTGGTGCTAGGAAACACAGAAATGGTGCAAACACTCCTGGACAGGGGAGCTAGGGTCGACATTGCATTGAAAGGAGATGATGAGGTAATCTGGTTTATGTTATGGCTAGCTGTTGGTTGGGTGGGTGGCTCATTAGTTGCTGGTTTCTTGGTTAGCTGTTTTGGCTGGTATATTGCTTGGTTGGCTAGTAGATTGCTTGGCTAGCTGGTAGTTTACTTGGCTGGCTGGTAGATTGCTTGGCTGGCTGGTAGATTGCTTGGCTGGCTGGTAGATTGCTTGGCTGGCTGGTAGATTGCTTGGCTGGCTGGTAGTTTGCTTGGCTGGCTGGTAGATTGCTTGGCTGGCTGGTAGATTGCTTGGCTGGCTGGTAGATTGCTTGGCTGGCAGGTAGATTGCTTGGCTGGCTGGTAGATTGCTTGGCTGGCTGGTAGATTGCTTGGCTGGCTGGTAGATTGCTTGGCTGGCTGGTAGATTGCTTGGCTGGCTGGTAGATTGCTTGGCTGGCTGGTAGTTTGCTTGGCTGGCTGGTAGATTGCTTGGCTGGCTGGTAGATTGCTTGGCTGGCTGGTAGATTGCTTGGCTGGCAGGTAGATTGCTTGGCTGGCAGGTAGATTGCTTGGCTGGCTGGTAGATTGCTTGGCTGGCTGGTAGTTTGCTTGGCTGGCTGGTAGATTGCTTGGCTGGCTGGTAGATTGCTTGGCTGGCTGGTAGATTGCTTGGCTGGCTGGTAGATTGCTTGGCTGGCTGGTAGATTGCCTGGCTGGCAGGTAGATTGCCTGGCTGGCTGGTAGATTGCTTGGCTGGCTGGTAGATTGCTTGGCTGGCTGGTAGATAGCTTGGTTGGCTAGTAGATTGCTTGGCTGGCTGATAGATAGGTTAACTGGTTTGTTGACTGGCTGATTGGAAGGTGGGTTGACTGGCCGATGTTGAATTTGTTGCTTGGGTATCTGTTAGTAAGCTGATTTTTGACTGGTCAACATGTGCAGCAAGGGACTTACTTTTTTCCTCCTTTGGGCAGCTACCTGAAAGTTTGACCACTCCTGCGTCCCAAAGAGTTGTATCCTGGGTGGCATGCCAACAAAGCAAATACCAGATACCTCTTCAATCTCTTTAGAAATTATAACTGGGGTGGGTTGCAGAAGTGCTGAACTACTCAGTGTGGTGCACCAGGACCAAGACTTGAACTGGTCAAGACCTGCCTACAACTCGCTGTGGTCATCCTAGAAACAGTGTCCCTACCAGGGACCTGGCCAACATAGATAGAACTGGTGTTTCTTTCAGTCAGACTGTCCGAGAGGCAAGGAACCAACAGTCTGCACTCAAATAAGCTAGATCTGTTAAATGGATGTGTACACGGCACTCAAGTCCTGGAACAAAGCCAAATTCTAGAAGTGGATGAACTGCCAGGACTTTCCGCTGGAGTTTACAGCCGGTGATGCTAATAAAAGGGGAAAAAATGAGAGCACAAAAATGTCTACGCGCTCTCAAGCTCAGAGGTTAGGGAATCCCCATCATCATGTAGCAAATTGTAGGCTAATTAGCTACTAACTGGTTAGTTGAAGATTTGGTCTGTTGGTTATTCATTTCCAGGATGTTTCCAGACTGTCAGATGCCTTACCACATGGCAGGGATGATCATGTGTCTCCACATGTTGCCATCTCCAGCATACATCAGCTTGTGTGTTGACATCTTTCTGTCTCTTCACTTCCTTTCTTACCTCTTCAGGGGATGAGGGAGATATAAGGTTTTGTTTGGTGCTCTTCTGGCCGTCTCAGACACATTATGCTGTTGTAAAGTTTTGTTGATGTTATCTTTGCATCTATTGCTTGGTCTGCCTTGTACTCTATGTCCTTCTTCTTGTGGTGTATGCCCTGTATGGTATGGCATCAAAATGCATTCTCTCTGAGTGGCAGACCATTTGATTTGCTGTCTTTGTATTAATTTAAAATCTTTCTGTACTATGACAAAATACTGTAAGGAATTTTCTTTTTTTCTGCTGCTTTTCTGTAAATCTGTTATTGATTGTTCCAGTTTTGCTATCCTCATCATGAGGTCCAGAAATAATGACTCTTCTCTGCTGATTGCAATAAATTGTCTTTGTCTCTTAGCTTCTTTGAGAACATTTGGATTGTTCATTCTGACTGTTCGGCACATTTTTAGTATTTGTCTTTTCTATACATCTTCTTCTTCTTAGCGTTTACCGGCTGCAAACTTCAGCAGAAAGTTGTTGTTATTGTCCACTTCTGGACTTTGGTCTTGAGTTTTGCATGCACATCCATTTTTACACTTTGCTTATTCGTGTGCAGACTGTTGGTTCCTCCCCTCTCAGATACACTCTGACTTTAAAGGAAACTCCTAATAAGTCAAATTTTTACAATATGCTTTTTATGGGCAGTGGGTCTGTTTTGTTTTTCCTCAAAGTGGGGTCCTGGAAGCCACATGGGGAGCTTACCAGAGATAATCAGGTATCACATTTACAATTATTAAAGATAAATAACTGTGAAATTGAGAATCATCACAGCAATAACAAGGAATTAATTGCTTTAGAAGATAATCAAGTGAGAAATGAGCTATCATCAAGTTTAATCAAAGTGAAGAGTAGTTTGGCAAGTAGGTAAGAGTGCTTGAATCTCGTGCAGTTGACCCAGTTACCATCCAAATAAAAAGGATTTTTTCCTGTCGGGGGCACACACACAATTGTTACCTTCAAGGTTCATGAAGACACTACTAGCCGTGTTGCCTTAAATTCTTTGGCCTAGGAATATGACCCTCGCATTCTTGCCTGCCCTAAAAGTGGCAAATACGGGCAGTTAAAAAAAAAAAACAGCAAGGATAGTTAAATGAGTTTACAACATTTGAATATAATCACCTAGGAAATGGACACTTTTTTATGATGATTAGGTGCAAATTGACAATTATCCAAGATAATCTATGAAAAATTGACAATTATCCAAGATAATCTATGAAAAATTGACAATTATCCAAGATAATCTATGAAAAATCGACAATTATCCAGGATAATCAGATGCACAATTGACAGTTATCTGAGATAATCAGTGTTAAATTTCCAACAGATGATCTGCCTTGAACTTGTAGATTATTAAAAACTTATGGGAATTGCAAATCATCAGAGGCAGGGCTGTTTTATATTGTGGCAGTATGAACGGTGTGCAGTGCCGGAAACGTAGACACTTTATAGTAAATAATGACATGGTTTTTCTAGGAAAAAATCCCTGCTCACAGATTAAAAAAAAAATTATGAAATAATGTAATCATGGATAGAATCCAGAAATGCAAGAAAATATAACACAAGACAGACTTATTACAAAGACAGACAGTTGCTCTTTTCACACAGAATTATGGAAACAAATAACATCATTATGTTTCAGATAGACATCCCTTTATTCTTCTACACCTTGGAGCACCAGCCACCCATCTGTCCATTGCTCCTGAAGACCGTCGTACCTATAGCTCCAGTCAGAATTGATGTTCTATTCTACAAGGTGTGTTTCATCGGTTAACTCTTTGTTTATTTGTGTTTGTGTGGTACAGTTGTGGCTTACCTTCTGTATATTTGTGTTTATGTGGTAAAGTTGTGGCTTACCTTCTGTATATTTGTGTTTATGAGGTACATTTGTGGCTTACCTTCTGTATATTTGTGTTTATGTGGTACAGTTGTTGTTTACCTTCTGTATATTTGTGTTTATGAGGTACAGTTGTGGCTTACTATCTGTATATTTGTGTTTATGAGGTACAGTTGTAGCTTACTATCTGTATATTTGTGTTTATGAGGTACAGTTGTGGCTTACTATCTGTATATTTGTGTTTATGAGGTACAGTTGTTGTTTACCTTCTGTATATTTGTGTTTATGTGGTAAAGTTGTGGCTTACCTTCTGTATATTTGTGTTTATGAGGTACAGTTGTTGTTTACCTTCTGTATATTTGTGTTTATGTGGTACAGTTGTTGTTTACCTTCTGTATATTTGTGTTTATGAGGTACAGTTGTAGCTTACCTTCTGTATATTTGTGTTTATGTGGTAAAGTTGTGGCTTACCTTCTGTATATTTGTGTTTATGAGGTACAGTTGTTGTTTACCTTCTGTATATTTGTGTTTATGTGGTACAGTTGTTGTTTACCTTCTGTATATTTGTGTTTATGAGGTACAGTTGTAGCTTACTTTCTGTATATTTGTGTTTATGAGGTACAGTTGTGGCTTACTATCTGTATATATGTGTTTATGAGGTACAGTTGTGGCTTACCTTCTGTATATTTGTGTTTATGAGGTACAGTTGTGGCTTACCTTGCTACTGCCATGAAAATCAATAGTTTTATCCAAACAAGTCATCCAGCAGATTTCTATGGTTCTGCTGTTAAAGACTAAAAATGCATCGTGTATATGAGTAGTGGGTGAGGAAGGGGAGATAATGACCAGTTTTGAAGAGGGAAAAAAGGGGGGGGGGGGGGGGGAAACTGTTTAAAATGTTTTTATTTTTATTAAGATTTTAAAGGTTACAGTTGAGACAATCAACTTCATTGCACAAGGTTTTATCCTGCATGGCTAAGTCTCCTTTTGGCAGAATGACTATCAGCCTGACTAGAGATTCACATAAAGCACAGATACTTTAGCTTATGGGATGATCCTCAGGGGTCTCCATAAAAATAGTACTTGTGAACCGAATGATACAACCACAAAATAAATTCATGACTTTCAGAGCATGAGGCAAATGGCTTGACCACTGTACCACAGAGACCGTTGTTGCATACATACCAAGATGAGGGTGTAGAAAGATTCACTTGTGATGGAATGTGTACAACTGTGGAAGGAGATAGTAATACTGTGCTGACAACAGAAGAGCACACACAGACTCAGCAAAAGATACTTACTATTTCGTCCCTCCCCGGTCAGCTGTCTGAAAGTTTGACCACTCCTGCAACTCAAAAAGTTCTGTTCTAGGCGGCATTCCATCAGGAACATTCTCAGATATCCCTTTGGTCTCCTAAGAAGTTATAATTAGGGCATCTTTAATGTCTGCACACTGTGTGGCTTAGATATTAGTGTCTTACATTATGTAGCAGTTCCTTTGGGGAATGTCTTTCTCATCGCAGTCTTCCTGAAAGAAACTCAGTCTGTCTCTAGCCCTTCCACCTCATGCACTTTCCTATCAAAGCTGTCACTTATATCCTGTGCCCATTATTTTGCTAGTCGGCCTCTGCTCCTCTTTGCTGGTACTGTGCCTTCTACTAATATTCTTTCCAATCCACTATGGCACTTGATATGGCCGAAATATTTCAGTTTCAGAGACAAGATGCTGTTCATTAGCCAATCTTCCTTGATGCTTCTTCCTTATGTTCAGATCTTTATGGATGTCACACACAGGTAATATGAGCATTGAGAGAAATAATGCTATATTTTGTGTCATCAGACGGTCAATGGTTTCTTTCAGGGTCGCAGTGTATTGTTCCACTGTATAGAGAAATGTGTGGGAGATCAGTTGGTTGATTTCATTCTTAGTAAGAGTTCTGCATATCTTGTCACTCAGAGAGTTCAAGTAAGTGCATATTCCTGTATGTAAATACATGTATGTGGGTGTCTTGTTTGTGACAGTGTTAGGTCTTATCAAAGATTTGTTATGTTGTTGTCATAAAAGGAGCATCAAAAGATTTGATGTCATTGTCAGTAAGATAGATAACTATCTCACCAAGAGATCTGATGCTGTTGTCAGTAGGAGAGATAACTAACTCACCAAGAGATTTGATGCTGTTGTCTATAGACGAAATAACTAACTCACCAAAAGATTTGATGCCGTTGTCAATAGATGAAATAACTACCCCACCAAGAGATTTGATGCTGTTATCAATAGGTGAAATAACTACCTCACCAAGAGATTTGATGAAGTTGTCAATAGGTGAAATAACTAATTCACCAAGAGATTTGATGCTATTGTCATCAGGAGAAATAACTACCACACCAAAAGATTTCATGCTGTTCTCAAAAAGAAAACTCGCAGTGCGGTTGCCATTTGTGAAGCAGGCAGTCACTTGTAAATGTAGTCGCTTTTATGTCTAAGTTTAAAGGATTAATTTATTTGCTTCATTTTAATCAGTAGGTGAGATAACTACCTTGCCAAGAGATTTAATTTTGTTGTCAATAGGCAATATTACTAACTCACTGAGATGTGATGCTGTTGACAATAGGAGAGATTACCTCACCAACAGAACTGATGATGTTGTCAATAAGAAAGTTGATGGATTGTTCAAACTGAAGTGCACAATTGCAGTGTAGTTGCCTTTAGTGAAGCAGGCAGTTACTTGTGAATGTAGTTGATTTTGTGTTTAAGTTGGAAGGATTCATTTATTTTTCCTCATTTTAATCAATTATTACAATATTATGAACATGATGAGATGCCACGAAATATGCCAGGCAATAAATTGTGCAATATGTTATTCATATATTTTTTGTTCAAATTCACAAAGGGGAATATTGCTTTTATTGTGTAGATGTTTGTGAGTCCTAAAAAGTTTACACTGTTTCATGTTTTAAACTGTTTCAGGTATTGTATTGGTGTTTCTGCATCCTAAAAAGTTTAGATTGTTTCATGTTTTAAACTGTTTCAAGTGTTGTGTCGATATTTATGAGTTTTGATAATTTTAGATTGTTTTGTGTTTTAAACTGTTTAAATTGTGTAGATGTTCTCGAGTAATAATCAGTGGGAATCAGGGGTCATGACTCATTGAATGCTTCATTGTATTTTCAGAGAAACCAGTGTGCTCGAGAAATGGCTGAGGAACATAACTGTGCATGGATGGTCAAAGCTATTGATGATGTAGGTGTCCTGACTGATGAAGATGATGATTATTGTTGTCATTATCATCATCATCAAGATAATTAATTTGATAGTGGTAACGATGGTTGTGATGGTGGTGGTAACAGAAGGATTGGTGTCAATCAGGCCTTTTTTCTTTAAAAAAAAAAGTACCCGCAGTATGTGTAAAAATTTAAAAAAGTGCTGGCACTCATTGCAGTATGTGTTTTAAAAAAAGTGCCGGCACTCACCGCAGTATGTGTTAAAAAAAGTACCGGCACTCACCGCAGTATGTGTTTTTAAAAAAAGTGCCGGCACTCACCACAGTATGTGTTTTAAAAAAAAAGTGCCGGCTCTCACTGCATTATGTGTATAAAAAAGTTACTGGTACTCACCACAGAAGTATCTATTACAAAAGTGTAAAAAAAAAAATTATGCCTAGGAAAAAAAAATGGTGCTGGTTATGAGTACATTTGCACACCACTAGAAAAAAAGTTCTGGTAAAAATGATGACAGAAATGAGGATGTTGATGACAGAGCATCACTGATGATAGCAATGACATCTCCAGTGATGGAGGTAGAGAATGACTTAATTCTTTATTTTTTATTACTCTCACTGATACCGGCTGGATGTTCGCCTTTGGATCCAAAGTTCATAGGTTCAGGTCATGATGAAGTGGAACATTGTTTTTCGAAAATTACCTGGGCTCCCAGGTCAACCCGGCCTTGAATGATAAAGTACTGGGTAGTAAAGTCAGTGGGCGTGATGTTGACCACATCACCCACCCAGTGCTGATAGGTCTATCAAATATAGGTCTAGCCCTACATGCCTGACAAAGCCATCAACCTGGCGCACATATCACAATCTCAACCAAACACTTGGAACAAATAAACCAAACCATAAATATAACTGGTGTCATCTTTTAACGTGGTTGTTTTGTAAATTTTTTTCCCAGATTGGACAAGGATATGTACACATATGCCCAATACGCTGCAGGTGTGAAAAACGGTCCTTTACTTTTTCACTTACTTTGACAGTACTAAAAAAAAAGTTTTTTGCGTATCCTTTACAGTGCGTTGCAGAACCAACACCAGCATTTTTTGGGCTGCTGTGGTTTTTTAGGGAAATTCACATCTAGTAGTTTGCCATTGCTTTCTGAACGGTCGGCTTCTCGATACCACTGTCAAAATGAATGCAAGGCGCATGGCCTGCAGCTAGGATCAAACCCGACACCCCGGGCATTACAAAGCACTTCGCAATGCCTTAGCCACAGACGCCGACCGTACTACATATGTGATATGGCTAGTGTCCACAAGAAATAGCCATTAACTGCATCACATTCTTGCTTGGTCGGGCTGTTGTTTAACTGAACCCTTTGGTCTCCAGAAGCCGCTTCTCTGCCACTGGGGTCAGTTACACATCCCCAGAAGATAGAAAACTGGCTTTGAGCAGTAGAAGGTCCCCAGAAAAGCCTGTTTAACAGCGTTGATTCTGTTTATATGCCTGCAGTGTGTTAGGAGATCCAGATGTCATCATGTTTACTTAAAATGGCATTTGGGTGGGTTTTATTGTTAAAAAAAAAAATGAGGAACGAACAAACAAACTTAAGTTTCAGAGGCTTCCGAATAGGACATGAAGGTGCTCTAACATTCTGCCCTTCTATTCTCCATCCTCTCATACATCATTTCATTCATACACCAAGTCATTACACTGAACGATAGTTATCATCATATGCCCTGCCAACAATCCCTGGTTGACTGAAACAGCTCTCTTGATGATATCACTCCATGCCATCGTTTAAGCCTGTCCAGCATCATCTCTCTTGGTCTGCCTCGACCCCTCTTTTCACTGATCTTTCCAGTTGTCATGATGTTTTCCAGTACCTCTCTTCTCATTATGAGGCCAAAGAACAGTGTTTGTCTTCTTCCTATTGTTGTAAATTGATATCTAATTTTATTAGCTTCTTTCAAACAATCATTGTTGGTTACTCTGGCTGCCAAGGTTTTTGTAACATTCATTAAAGAAACCACATCTCTGTTGCTTCCAAATTCTTCTTAATTTGTTATGTAACATTCCAAGATTCGCTGCCATAAAGTAAAACAGGTTCTGTGTAACATTTTAGCACCCTCTGACATTAAATGAGAGCAACTTATTGCATCTGATATTTTTCATTTTCTGAAATGTCTTCGCCTGACATATTCTGCTTTTTATCTCTGTCACACATTTTCTATTTGATGCTATGATTGTTCCCAGATATTTGAATTTATTAACTTAAGTCTTTTTTCTTGAACTGAGATATCACAATGTGCTATTATCTTCTTCTTTGATATAACCATTACTTCCGTTTTCCTAATATTCAAGGAAAGTCCTTTCTTATCACTCTCCATCCCTATAATATGGAGAGTGCTAACAAAGGACTTTCCTTGAATATTAAGAAAACAGAAGAAATGTTTCTAGCCATTATGTGATAATTTTCTTTAGTCTTTAATGCTGGTATGACGAAGAGGTTACGGGATAAGGCCATGAGCCTACATATACATTTTTTTTTAGATCAATGGCATGTAATCTATTTAAATCTTCACTCTGTATGTGTTTCTTGATTACTCCCCTTCATATATTTTGAGGAAAAACTTAAAAGGTAAATACCTAATTTTTTTTTTAAACAAATGTATTAGTAACTTATGTAAAATATTTGTATTTAAGGGAATTTTGTGAGGGGGGGGGGGGGGGAATTACTGGGTCCATTGGTTTTTCTTCCATAGGTTTCTGGGTGACAGTGTTAACTTTGTGTTTTATCACTCATCTGTATGGGTGTTTTATCACTCAACTCTGTTCTCTGTCATTTCAACTGTGTGGTTATTGAACCAGTAATTTTAGTTATGGCTGTCATGCAGGCTGTGGTGAGATGGGTGTACCAGGAGGAAGGCCTTAACCGCCAGATCCTGGTTTTGCAGGGCTACCAGTACATTCCTGCTCCATTACAGGTGACACATTATATCTGTATCTGTGTGTGGAGTCATCTGAGATCTGTGTGTGGAGTCATCTGAGATCTGTGTGTGGAGTCATCTGAGATTGTGTGTGGGGTCAACTGAAATCAATATGTGGGGTCATCTAAGATCTGTGTGTGGGGTCATCTGAGATCTGTATGTGGGGTCATCTGAGATCTGTGTGTGGGGTCATCTGAGATCTGTGTATGGGGTCATCTGAGATCTGTGTGTGAGGTCATCTGAGATCTGTGTGTGGGGTCACCTGAGATCTGTGTGTGGAGTCATCTAAGATCTGTGTGTGGAGTCATCTGAGATCTGTGTGTTGGGTCATCTAAGATCTGTGTGTGGAGTCATCTGAGATCTGTGTGTGAAGTCATCTGAGATCTGTGTGTGGAGTCACCTGAGGTCTGTGTGTGTGCTTGATCAGTATGTACAAAGGAATGCAGATGTGTACATGCGACTGATAGGTTGTACTTAGGAGATATATTTGTACTTGTGTCTTGTATGTGTGTACATAGGTGATACATGTGTGCATTTGCCTTCTTCTTTGTCTTCTGCATTTGCTTGTAAAAGGACGGTTGGCATATGTTGTGGTTTACAGCTAGGCTGTGATATCTGCACCTTCTGACTTTAAATAAAAGGAATGATTTCACACCATTAGCAGATCAAGCTAAACTCATGTTCTATACTCGATGGATGATGTGGTCAGCATCAGGCTGGCCATCTTTACTTCCCAGGACTTTACCTGTTACCCATTGTAGGCTGGGTCGATCTTGAAGACATGGTCATTTAGAAAACAATTTGACTTGATGTGGATTCGAACCCAAGATTTGGGGCAAGCAGGTGAGCATCTAGGCACTATGCCACTAACATCTGCTACCTGTTGACTCAATACATCCTGATTACATTTTTTAAAAACCTGAATTAGTTGCTTTTTACGACGTGCTTGCTAAAGGGCAGCAAATCTGTTTCTCCCCCCCCCCCCCCTCCCCCATCACCTTTTCCTCACCTAACTGGGCTACCATATAGAGACGCATAACAATAATATCTTTTATTAAGGACATGTTTGCATTGATGATGCCTACCTACCTACTGAATGCGCTACCTTATTTCAGTCCTGTTAAAGAGTTAGGAAAGTTGGAGGTGAGAAGAGGCAGAGGGAAAGAGAGAGATAAAATGTTGGACAGTTTGACATCAGGGCATGGAAAATCATCTGGGTCAGAACTGATTGAAAGTACACGAGACAGAAGGGTGTAGATAGACATGGATACCAAGGCTACATGGCATGGACTACAAAAAAAAAATAAGAAAGTGTAAACTTAGAAGTACATTAGTAATGTTGTTTTGTCAAGGTAATTACCATTATTTTGTGCCTTTTATGATTAATTTAATCTTGTGTAAACTGTTGACAGCCATTTTTGTTTGTTTTCAGAACTCCAGCAATGAGGAGAATGTTCCAGACACTTTCTACAGATATCTGCCACTGTATCAGGTCAGTTGACTTCATATATTCTCATATCAAGAAAAGATATAAAACTGAACGAAAAGTATATCAGCAAGCTTCACAATATAACAAACACAAACAAAATGTGAACATTGATGCTATGCTATCTCACTCTCTCCATTTATTTATATAATGAAACCTTGGGTTGTGAATGTAATCCATTCCATGACTGAGCTTATGTGGTAAATAACTCCTATCCAAAACTATTTTGCCCATTAAATGTTTATGTAAATAATTTTAATTCATTCCAGTCTTCCAGAATTTTCCCTTTTAATTTTAAAATAATGTTTTGTTTTTCGTTAACAGGAAAAATATGTTGCACTGCTTTTTTCTTTAGCAGAAAATAGGGTTACTTCCGACCATGATGCTCCCATTCTTTATCATTAAGTGCCTTGTCAAATGGCTGCAGTTTTCCTACAGCAAAGTTAGCATGACCTAATCCAATTAAAAGTTGAGATGCTGTCGGGGAACCCTGAGAGTTCATGACTCTCCAGCTGACATCATTGGTTGTCTTGTATTATGGAACACAAAATTGGCGAGCATGGGTGAAAATCAATAGACCAGCTGCCCCTTAGCTAGCATGTCCTCAAAGTTGACTAGTTAAGGATTTGCTGACATTGGATATGTTGGGTTGAAAGGCACATATTACCCTAACTGTAAACCACAATACAATGTACCAGCTGACCCGTAAAGGGTGAACACAGAAGAGGAAAAATAATACTTCAATAGCATACACTGAGAGATACTTTTATTAAATAATCATCATCACAACCATCATCATCATGTGCTAGGTCAATAACATTAGGTAATCATGGTTCACAACCTCACATTAGTAACGGAATCGTGGATTAGGTCTGGGTTTTTTGTCATGCTCAGACCATGTGTGTGGTCAAGTCATCTGGGTTACAGTCAACAGGTTCGACTTCATTCCACCGGTTTAAAAAATACCATATGGCTAGATCTCTCTCCATAGAATGGCTAGCAACCTACCGAGAGCATCGCACAAAGTAAATTCTCTGTAGCTACAGCAATGATCCCCAAGGACCGTCATCCAACTATCCATCTCTTTGTCTTTCCTTTGCTCCCCACTTCATCAAGCTTGCCTGCTGTCGTTCAGTTTTGCAGCCAGTTTGTCTTCATAAGATGTCTAAAATAATCTTGACAGTCAATGTCTCTGATCAGTTTCATCATCATCAAGTACCTTGCTGACTGGCATGGATATGCCTCTGCACAACTTGTGATCTCCCACAGCATTTATCAGTTTTGTGCTAAAGTCCCTCCCTGTCAAGAATCTTCTCATGTTGTCTTCCTCTATCTCTCTTTCCATATTTCTCTCCAGTGGTGACAACCTGTTGAGAATCTTTTCATGTTGTCTTCCTCTATCTCTCTTTCCATATATCTCTCCAGTGGTGACAACCTGTTGAGAATCTTTTCATGTTGTCTTCCTCTATCTCTCTTTCCATATATCTCTCCAGTGGTGACAACCTGTTGAGAATCTTTTCATGTTGTCTTCCTCTATCTCTCTTTCCATATATCTCTCCAGTGGTGACAACCTGTTGAGAATCTTTTCATGTTGTCTTCCTCTATCTCTCTTTCCATATATCTCTCCAGTGGTGACAACATGTTGCAGCTTCCTGCGACTCGGAAAAGGGCCACAAATATTGTGACCATCTTCTTCAGATATTTGTGAGAAGTGATCTTCGGGCCCTCACAAGTTAATGTAATGCTCACATATACTATAATGAATGTATTAACAGGAGCAGGTGAGTGCTCTACACAAGTTAATGTAATGCTCACATATACCATAATGAATGTATTAACAGGAGCAGGTGAGTGCTCTACACAAGTTAATGTAATGCTCACAAATACCATAATGAATGTATTAACAGGATCAGGTGAGTGCTCTACACAAGGCTGTCGAAGAGTGTGATGAGGAAACTGTCAGACACATCATCTATTTCCGACACCCAGATGATCACAGCCTTGACCCTTGCCTTGCTGACAGCAGACGGCCGGTGAGTTCATCATTTTTGTCTTTTTTTCCTGGAGCTTTTTTTTGTGTAGGATATTTTCAACTTGGGAATGTCTGTTTTGTTCTGTGTGTTTTGAAGGTGTATCAAGATATATTTGTGCACCAAAGATTCTCAAATAGGGATCTTGAACGAAAGTGATGAACATTTAGAGCTTTTGATATGTAGTCCACTTCTTCTTTTTTGTGTACATCAGTCGTAAACTCTGGTGGAAAGTTCTGGCTGTTCGTCCACTTCTGGAGTTTCGTCTTGTTCCAGAACTTGAGTTTCTTTGCACATCTGTTGTACAGATGTCTGGCTTCTTTTTCTAAGCTGACTCTTGAATCCTTGTCTCTCATATAGATGTACTCTGACTTCAAAGGAAACACTCCTGATAAATTAACTTGTACAACATACTTTTTTTTTAGGAGGGGGGGGGGGGGGGGGGTGGGGCAGTGGTTTTGTTCTTTTCCCCCCTAAATGGACCCTGGAACCCACATGTGTGGTTATCTTAAATTCTCTGTAAGTCTGCATTGTAACAGTTCTGTATCATGGTATGCTCACACAGGGAGATGGTCAGCCTCTACTTCACAAGGCAGTCCTGAGAGGCAGTGTGGCTGTGACTCAGCTTCTGGCAGAAACCCTCGTCTATCAGCGCAAACAAAGGCTGGATTCTATTAGAGATCAGGTAACAACTTCTGTTGCTGATGTTGGTGTTAATATGTTGTTCTGTAGCTTATGTTGAATCAAGAATCAACATCCCAGCACTCGGGACGCTTCCATAAATGCTCAGTTCCCCCATCAGCAGCAGCAAGCGAAGAGTTACAATTCCAGTTCTGAGATTGGTGAATACATTTAACAGTTTCATGATGTTAGAGAACTGCTGGATACTCTAATTCTTGCCCCTTAACAGTCGTATTGCTGTTCCTTAACCTTTTTTGCCCCAAAAATGCTTTCGGGGAAGAAAAAAACCTGAAGGAAAATAAGGATTACACAGGTCACTTATACACTTTCATAAAAAACTTTATATCTACATTTAACAGTTGTTTTTTCCCACAGATATATAAAGATATATAAAGAGGTAATTTGAGTAAGCAAAAAAAAAAAAAAAAAAAATAGAATGAAATATTAAATGGAGTGCAATTCTCCTAGGCCTAAAAAACACATGTTATGGGTGACTCATGCTGTGACCCCGGTGACCTCTTTCACTGAGGCTTATAGGACAATTTCACATCAACACTTGGCTTTTAATAAGACATTAGGGCCTGCCCAGGCACACATAGGACCAATGCAGTTTGACTATACTTTAAAAAAAAAAAAAAAACAGTTCACTGCAGACATAACCATGTACCAGCAGGCATTTAGGGACATTGCCACAAATGGAAGTGACTAGATTTAATCTTTTAGGGCAACAAATACTTCTGAAATTAAATGTATTGGTCTAAAAGGACCAGATATCTCAGCCTAGCTGTAAAACACAGCCTAAAGTTGCAGACACTCTTTTAAGGCTGAATGCACAAAAACCCAAAGCACTGTTTTACACATTGTTATCCGTTATTATATTAATCCTTGTTTATAATTCTTTATGGATGGCAGTATCCAAAGATCAGTGTACCGAAAAGAAACATGGACTGGCCAGTATCTAAACTTTTACAGTTCTGTACCTATTTAGTACAAACGTGGTGTAGTGAGAAGCTTGTTCAACCGGGCCAAAAAGATTTGCACTGAAGACACACTGGCTGCAGAAATTAAAACTCTCAATTCAGCTTTACTACTGAATGGGTACCCCATAGGTTTCATCAAACGTCATTGCCCCCCACCCAACCCCACCCTGAAAGAAATTACAGTATAAAAACTACGAGTATATATCCAACTTTCTTATCGAGGTGATGACATCATGCAGCGTCTGCAGGACCGACTGAAAACAGCAGTTGGCCAACATTTTTTGCGGCTGTTCCAGTAGTGAGGTACAAGACCACTCCTTTCCCAATCCCACCTATTAAACAACTTCTTTCTCCGCACATCAAATCTAATTTACATGTAAGTGTCAGTTGACTTACATCGGTCGAACGGAGAGACAGCTTGGAAATATAGTGGCAGAGCATATACCCAAATGGCTACATACACAGCTGAGTGATTCTTCTATGGTGTCGAAACCAGTCAAGAGGAAAGAACTCGCTTCTTCCATAGGATGGCATCTACTTAACTCCGGACACATAATTGACACAGACACTGCTTTCCGTGTGGGTTACCACACTCCAAACAAGAGACTTTTGAGAATCGCTGAAGCCATAACAATAAAAATCAAAAACCCTCTCCTTTGTAAGCAGACGGAATTTATCATACATTTGAAGTTACCCTGGTAGTCAGTGACTACGGTGAGCTTCCGGCAGCCATGAAGGAGAGACAATGTATCGAAGAAACTATTCGCATTTCAGTTGAATTTATTCAGTTTTGTGCTTATTTTATGGTGATGTAACTCTTTAGTAATGCACCTGATGAGATACAGTGAAATATGCCTGGCAATAAATTGTGCAAATCTATTGTTTGTATCCGCATTATTTAAATTCTTTATTTCTTCTTTTTGATAATGCTCATGTGGGATCTTGGTTGAAAATAGTTTTTTTTTAATACCTTTTTGACAGTATTTCCGAACTGCACTGCATTATGCTTATGCCATGGAAGATGGCAAAGACCTGGTGAATCTTCTGCTGGATTATGGAGCATCAGAGTTCACCATGGACAAGGTTGGTAACTCTCATTTCTCGACTTGATCTACGCTGGCAGAAACTGGCTGACCTTGTTTAATGTATTCAGATTTATCCGTGATCCCAGATCTTTTTAGGGAACGACAATGGTGTAGAGGCTAGATGCTAATTTGCGGATCTAAGAGTTGTGGAGTTCAAATCCGAATGGAGCAGCATTTTTTTAAGGACCTTTGGGCCTTTGCTCCCAGATCGACCCAGCCTTAAGTAAGTACCAGGTGAAGTCCAATAAAGTAAAGATGCCCATGAAGTAAAGATGGCCAGCGTGATGTTGACCACATAACCCACTGAGTGACGATTGGTCTATAAAATATAGGTCTAACACTGTATGCCATATATACCCGAAGGCGTGGAAAGGGGTCCTTTGCTTTACCTTTAAGATCTGTTTTGTTTCCCAGCTATGCAGAACATCCTTCTAAAGACTTGTTTATATTGAGGTCAAGTTATTTATTTGGTCAAGAACTCTAATTTCTAGTGGGAGGCAGAGGTGCTAAACCAAACGTGGTGCACCAGCACTAGCACTACAGCCCATACTGGTCAAGACCCGACTCCACCAGAGGCGAGACGTGATCAGTGTGCCGTGTAATCATTTACAGGCAACGATTATACAGGAGAGGGTACTAGGTTATATTTTCCACCATCACTTCGTTGTTGAGATTGTGTATGCGCAGCCAACATCGAAGTATTAGTAACTGGTAACTGTCACATGTTAAGGTTTTTGCATAAGTGGTATAAGTGTGCAGCAAGCCTTGTTTTTGCTTTGCTCAAGACACAAACCGAGTGGCTTATTGGTAATAAATAGTAATAATAAATAGTATAACAGTGACTTTTTCTTTTGGAATGGAAAGTGTCATCAGTGAGATTGTGGCGCGGTGATTTATGTCACAGGCGTGAGGGGAAGTTAAGTCCAACATGATGTGTATAAGGAGATACTCCGTACGTCACTCGGGCGCCAGTCCTTTGCTATCCTGGTTGTACGGAACCTCACGCAAGACCCCTACAGCACGTCCTCGTCGTGCGCCACGGATAATGTCTCAAATGAGCATTAACAGAGCTGTCAGGGGATCTCGGAGTTTGGCGGCCCCCAGAGGTGATGTGTCCTTGTGGCTCTCATCAGCCCGCCCCCAAACGCTTGGGTGAAAAATGTTATCAAAACTCATTAGGAACATGAGTAGGTTCGACAAAAGTACAGCTAAAATTACAACCCTTGGTTAAAAGACTGCTGTGTAAAGAGAACATTGCTCAATGCTCATCCTCGGTTAATTCTCAGTGTCGTCGTCACCGCGCTAAGGTGCACCACAACAGCAACAATACATGGGCTGGCCATCCTTGTGCATCTTCGGTTGGCCCTCAGTGTCGTCGTCACCACGCTGAGGTGCACCACAACAGCAACCATCTATCGGATGGCTAAGCCTAAATGTTCAACAAAACTAGATCATACGGATCAAAATCTGACCATCAAAATTTGCACTGAAATGATAAAGGCCGAATGTCCACACCCAAAGACCTCACTCGCCCGAGTGTTGGGACAAAACTGGTAACGATATGCCTGATTCAGGATGTGAAATTCTGTCGGGCTAATGTACCTATCTGTGTGGTCACAAAAGTCCAAAACCAACGGGCTGCTCCCCGCTGACTTCCAGAGGGCGCAGCCCCTGTCGAGCGGGAGGCCTGATACGGTTGTGAGGTTAAGCAGGCATGTGCAGGACGTGACGATTCCTTGGGTGAGCCCAGAACCAGAGCGCCATGTGCCGGCTCTGCATGCATGGAAGCCTCCTTGGATGGCGGGGAATGCCCATGATCTGCCCCTGCCTTCCCTTGAGGGCCAACTGTTCCACAGGGGGCTGCCCCAAAGGGGTACTCCGGGGGCAATACCTGCGGCGAAGGAGACAAGGCGGACACCACACAAATCAGGCAAAGTCTCGACCCACACAAAACAATGGCCACAGTCACCCTAGAAATAGGCCTGACGTCTTCCTTCGAAGTCGGCGTACAGCTGCCCAAGAGGCAGGGAAATGAAAAACGGTTGTACACGCAAAAATCAGGTCCAGGTGAAGGCCAAAAGTCCAAGCGGACGATTAACCGGGACCTTCCACTGGAATTCACAGCCGGTGTTCGATTAAAAAAAAAAAAAAAAAATCAGTGAAATTACAGACATTATATGCTTGTCTCCCCACTGGTCTACACCTTTCCCTGGTCACTCTAGAAACAGGTTCCTAGCCGTGAGCTTGGCTATCATCGCTTGGACAGATGCTTCCTTCTAGGTCAGAATGCATCTGTCTCAGAAGCAAGTAACTATCAGTCTGCACACCAATGAGCCATAATTGTAAAAAGGATATGCAGTCAAAACTGAAGTCCTGGAACATAGTTAAGAAGTGGATAAACAACCATGACTTCCTACCAGAGTTTACAGCCAATGAGCTCTCAGTTCCTGGAACAAGACCAAAGTTGAAAAGTGGAAGCCAGGTTTTCTGCTGATTACACCCTGGGGTTGTGAATAAGAAGGTAGTAGTAGTAAATTTTACCCCACCAGGACATCACTCAAGCGATAAACACCCGACAACACAAAGTGCCACCATGTGGATGAGGAACAGCTGTGAAGAGGTCCTGGAAACCATGTTCAGCCATTAGGCCATATTGTGGCCTCTGACAAGAGCCAGGGTAGGGCTTCAAAATAACGAAAAATTGCATCCCACAAGGGAATGACTAGTAGAAGGTGATGGTGCACAGTGGAAGTACATAAATATAGTACTGGGGTTGAGATAATGCATTTAAATAATATTTTTTAAATGTCAGAGGGAATTAACTGATAAAAACAAATCACTACTATAGAGTTTTGGGTGATAACTAAATAAATTCTAATGAATCAAGAGGTGAGGAAAAGATCATGGCATTAGATAGGACACAAGCTGACTGTTATGTTGCAATATATGGAGATATGAAGGGCTATATCCCTTAGAAGAAATATCTTGGACACCTGGTAATATAACACATTTATTTTTAACTCTGAAACACATTAAAAAAAATTACTTAGAAAGGCAAAACAAAAATGCATGCTGAAGGGAATTCAAGAGTGAAGTTAAAAGGATGGGGGGGGGGGGGGGGGGGGGGGGGGGTGGCATGGTGATTTGATACGATAGCAACAGAGAGGGCAGCTTATTGGCATTGACTTACGGTATCAGTCTGTGATTCTTTCAGAAATAAAGAGCAGAAGAAGAAGAAGGAGGAAGAGAAGAAGAAGGAGAAGAAGAAGAAGGAGGAAGTGAAGAAGAAGGAGAAGAAAAAGAAGAAAAATGTCATACAAATCCCCAAAAAACTGACATCTGAATGTGAACATATGCTAGTTAACTCCCAAACTGATGCCAGTAGCTTGTATTATTATTGGATGCCTGCAGGATAACCGGTCACCTCTGGCATTCAAAGACCGGCGTGGACAGGACTTGATGAATAAACTGCTACAGTACCAGTATCAGCAGGTAAGTGAACACCATCAAAGTTTCGTGGTGTTTGTGCCCCCTCTACTAAAACATTTACATCCAGTTTTCTTCTTTACGTTTTTCTTCTGCCATTCTATGACCAAATGGAGCATAATTTATCAGCCAACTCACGCCAAGTCATCCTATCCTTCGCTATCTCATGCTGCTCTTCTCCTATCCTCCCCATCTTTTTAACTTCACTCTGTTGCTCCCTTCTCCATGTGTTTTTTTGACTTTCATTATTTCAGTGCTTCTGTGGGTTCCAGTGTTGAGACTTTCTAGTCATATTGTTCTTAGGTTTTCTCAACATGTATCCTGTCCAGTCCCAGTGTCTTTTCCTCACCTCTTGGTCCACTGGAGCTTGTTTTGTTCTTTCCTAAAACTTTACATAAGTGATTCTATCATATCATTTAATTCCCTCTAATTAGCGCAGGCACCGGTTAATGAATGTTTGTAGTTCATTAGTAGTTGTACTCCATGTTTCCGCTCCATACACCAGTACTGATCTGCCATTCTTCACGTTCACTGGTTGTAAACTCCAGCATGAAGTTCTGGTTGTTCGTCCACTTCTGGACTTTAAGTCTTGTTCCATAACTTGAGTTTTGTGGGCACATCCATTTTAGAGATCTGGCTTATTTGCAGATTTAGAGTATTTTTTCAGCTGATATGCAAATGGTACACGGTACCAGCACCATTTTATAGGCAATTTTTTAATTGTTACTGTTAAGGTTAAAGGTTGAAGTCAAGAGAGCACAAACTCCACAGCTACGGCAATGATCCCCAGGGATTTTTGTTTAAAAAAAGCACCCATGAATTTAACAACGCAGCCGTGAAACAAACCCATGACCTTCAGAGCTGAGGGTAATGGCTCGACCACTTCGCCATGGAGAACCCCTATAAATCATTACTGTAAGACACTTTGTGGTTAAGTATCTGTACCTTTTTTTAAAATTACTTTTTAATTTAAAAAATTTTGTAAAGACATGTTATGGTGACTACCAGCATCTTAATTTCTGGGGGGAAAAAAGCCATGGGTAGATTCAAATCAGAGTCAGTGTTATGATTTTGTTAGTCCAAATAATGCTGGATCTTCCTACATCCTTATTTTTGATGTTACTTAAATCAGGGACTTTTTAAAAAATTCTGGTTGAATTCAATGGTCAGTGTTAAGCAGTGTTAAGGTTGGCTAGTTTCTCTTTAGAGAGGTGAAAAGTGAAATTTAAGTAGCCTGCCAATGACCTGTGTAGCACCCAGGTCAACCCCACCTCCTTGTGATGCATGCTGGAAAACTGAAGCCACAAGGTTTCAGGCTAACAGGGCAATGGTTCGCCTGAAAGGAGATGGGCACCAGTTAAATCATATTTGTTTCTGCCCCGCCACGTGACAGGCCTAGCAGTAGTATCATTGACTGCTACTACACAAGAAATATTGAATTATTATAGGACAGACTCTTGCGAACATTGGACCGATAATGGACAAATCCATCACCGAAGCAACCTGAGAAGCGCAAGAAATATACAGAAAAGTACAACACTGGGCTACAATCTGGTATAAGTGAGACAGTGAAAAAAATATGCGACAATACACAAAACTGGTATCTTTTCTAGACATAATTTTTTCAGCGGTACTGTAATAGTCACTTTGTGGTGAGTACCAGATCCTTTGTTTCTAGAGGGGGGAAAGCACTGTTAATTCTCTTTGCCAACAGAACATTGATAATCACGGTCTAGTGAGAGTTATGCGGTGAGGAGTGATGAGGGCATCTGGCTGATACTCGGCGCTCAGAGGAAAGGCAAGACGGACATATAACCAGACTGCTACTGGCGTCATTGCGTTTGGAACTCTGCACTGGCCTTAAGTTTATTTTTGTGTGCCTTAAACTTATCTTTGTATGTATGACTTAACTGGATCTTTTTTTTAACATCGTAAACTGATATTTTTATACCTTAAATGGATTTTTAATGCCTTAAATCAGAGCTATTTATCTAAGTTTACTCTGAGGCCAAACTGTTGGAAAACAGGGATTGTTAATTGCCAGAAGCCGAAGTACTAATACAATAACAATCGGCAATGATCCGCATGGTACTTGCTACATTCCACCTGCAGGCCGCCTGTTGAATAGCCCTGGCTTAAATTAACCTTCTTATGCCTTAAATATATCTTTTTATGCCTTAAGTATATCTTTATATGCCTTAAATTGATCTGTCATACTTTAATTTCTTGTTGTTGTTCCCTTATATGAATACTTTTGAATGAAGTTTAATTGACATTCTTGGCCAGGATTTTACATACCCGGAGCCAGATCCGTTCAGCATTCCTCTGCCTATACCTATAATCGACTACCTAATGGCCCACAACTGCAGCCACTCAGATGGCCACTCGCACCAAGAACTGGAACATTTCAACTCCCGACACCATCTCTCGCCTCTACCCAACACAGAACTAGCCGTCACAGAGTCCTCCCGACACAGCACTCCGCTGGCGAAGTCTCACAAGTATAAGTCCGTGTCAGACACCAAGCTGCACAAACTGGTACCTGGCAAACAAGGTCTGGCAGCCAACCTGGCCAACTTCCCAGATTTGGTGAAATCCAGGCTGTCCAAACGGCCACATAACAAGTGCATTGTGGATGGGGTTCGGAAGGATTATCTGCCTGTGCCTTTAGATGCACCACGGGATAGTGATGATGAGTACGATTATGAAGATGATGGGGCCGATTGTAGAGATTTGTTAGATGAAAAGGAAATGAGGAAATCTACTTCGTGCCGCATACAATAAAGAAAATATCTACTTTCTGCTGTGTTCATTAGAGACATCCACTTTCTGAAAATTCAGTAATTTACTTTTTTTTGTAAATTTCAGTAGGGACATTCTTTCTGTGGTACCAACATTAAACATCTCAACTTTCTGCATCACACAATAAACGATATCTACTTTACATCACATGCAGTAAACAAACAAAAAAAATACATCTTATAATGCACAAAGTAAGTTAGAAATCTAATTTATTTGGCACAAAGTAAAATTACATCTAATTTATATGATACACAGAAAGCAAACATCAATCTTATAGCATAGACAGTAACACATCTATTTTTTTTTGGATTTACAGTAAACAAACAATGTGTCTTAGTTACACGTACAGAAAACAAACGAGACATCTATCTGACAGCACATACAGTAAAGAAGACATCTAATTTATATGACCTACAGTAAAGAAGACATCTTATTTATATGACATACAGTAAACAAGACATCTAATTTATATGACATACAGTAAAGAAGACATCTAATTTATATGACATACAGTAAAGAAGACATCTTATTTATATGACATACAGTAAACAAGTCATCTAATTTATATGACATACAGTAAACAAGACATCTAATTTATATGACATACAGTAAACAAGACATCTAATTTATATGACATACAGTAAACAAGACATCTAATTTATATGACATACAGTAAACAAGACATCTAATTTATATGACATACAGTAAACAAGACATCTAATTTATATGACATACAGTAAACAAGACATCTAATTTATATGAGATACAGTAAACAAGACATCTAATTTATGACATACAGTAAACAAGACATCTAATTTATATGACATACAGTAAACAAGACATCTAATTTATATGACATACAGTAAAAAAGAAATGCAGTTTACACTAGATCTTCTCAAACTTATCACAGCATCATGAAGAGGAATGACCACTTGACCTCTCTGCCATCTTGCCTTCCCCTGTATATTTCTCTACACAGCTGTCAAGTCTAGGTCATCATCATCTTTGACATCCAGTTTTGCTGTTAAGCACCATAGGGAGAATCAGTTTGCAGGTCAGGACTCAGTGGGTAGCACTGACCATTGTCATTCTGTGTGAATGTGCATGCAGCTCTCAGTCCCTAGGGACCATGGAGATGTGCCACTGGTTTTGGCAACAGCGTCTGCTATGACTAAAGTTGAATGCTGGAGTGACATTATCTGCTACCAAGTCCACATAAAAAAGCTGATACTCTATTATACTGAGGCTGGGTTTCTCTCAGACCTCTCCTCTGTCTAGCTTGCTACATTTGGCTTCTTTCAAACTGCAGCAGTCCATCTTTCACTGTCTGCCGCCACAAAAGTCAGTCTTCTGCTGAACATCTGTGTCAGTGTTGGTATCTTTCAGGTCTTGCTCACATATGTGCTTATAGCATAGCTTTGGTCTTCCTGCAGATCTTATCCTTGTTACCAGTTCACCATAAACAAAGAAAGACCTTTGTGATCATCCTCCATGCAAGAGATATGTCCCAATCAGGGCAGGCATCATTGCTTCAGTAGAAAGTACTTTAGTGACATTCCTGCTATTTTGACTACACTTTGTTTTGGGATAAAGTCTCACCATGATATAACAAGTGTCTCATAGAGTGCATGTAAAAAGTATTCAGTTTTTTGTTTCTTGACAGCATATCGAGTCCAGGTTTTACTACACATTGTTTTGGGATAAAGTCTCACCATGATATAACAAACCAGTATGGTCCCATTCTTGACAGCATATCGAGTCCAGGTTTCACTGCCTTTAACGAATGTACTGTATCTTGAATGTATCAGTCCACCTTCTTCTTGGGTGTTTTCACTCTCTCACAGCCAGCCTGGGTACCTGGTAGCAATACCCTGCCTCATCTGAGGACTGATCCTAGAACACTGGTCGGGAACGCCAGTGAACTGCTGTAGGAGTCTTCATGGCAAAGTGGTCAAGCCATTTGCCTCGCACTCTGAAGGTTGTGGATTGGTTCCACGGCTGCTTAGTTTGGTTATTGAGTGCAGTTTTACTGAGACACCTGGAGATAGTTGCAGAGCTATGGTGTTTGTGCTTTGTGGGACACTGTCAGCAGGTTATTAGCTGTTCTGCTGAGAGAGACTGAGTCATTTAAGATAAAACCCTGTGCAATTAAGTCGATACTTTCAAAGTTAACAGCGAATTTCCAATAGGCGGCATACATTGAATATTTTGTTATTTATGTCTGAGAGAGTGGTATTTTTTAAAAGCAGAAGAATCAGTGTTACACGACTTTAAACAACTGAATTATGAGTGTGTGTTGTTTCTGACTATCATGTCCATGAATCGTTACTTATATATTGGTGTGATTCTGTAGACGATTGCTGTGATGTAGTTGTATAGAAGATTGTTCTGTGATTCTCTAGAATAGCGGTTTTCAACATTTTTTCAGGCAGCATCCCCCCCCCCCTCCTCCCCCCCCCCCCCCCCCAGTTTTTATTTAAATATATAGCAAGACACCCCCCAACCACCTTAATTTTATAAAAGGAGGACAAACAAAATTTTTAATTAACCCCAAAAAAATTTGTTTACGTGAGCTTGGAGAAAAGTTTCCACATAAATCAAAACGTTAAATAACATAAAAGGAACGATCATCAATGGGTAATTTAGTGTCCTGATATTGATGTGATGTTTGGCATTGTTTTGTCTTGAAGATATGTGTTATTTTGAGTCTGATGCTGGACAAGGCACAAATAAATGCTAAAGAATAAAATGTTTCTATAACAGATTACAGTTGAAAATTCACTCAATTTAAACAGGTGGAAAACCCTGTCATAAACGATTGCAAGAATACCATGGATATGTTTTGTTTTAAACACACAAATGGGTGGGGGGGGGGGGGGGGGGGGGGGGGGGGGGTTAAATTGGTACTCATATTGGAAGTACAATCATTCTGGGGGAAAGGGGGTGGGAGTGTTTGAAAACTGGGATATGTTTTATGTAGTGAAACATTGCAGGGGATTGCAACACAGAAGGTAGAAGGGAAAAAAAGATAACAGCTTGACATTATGGCTTGCAGACACAAGGGTATTACATTAACAGCAGCAGGCAAGACAAGAGGCTATGGATATACCTGACTTCACACAGTATGGGTAAAAGTATAGTCCCACAGTATGGATAAAAGTATAGTCCAACAGTATGGATAAAAGCATAGTCCCACAGTATGGATAAAAGTATAGTCCCACAGAATGGATTAAAGTATGGTCCCACAGTATGGATAAAAGTATGGTCCCACAGAATGGATAAAGTATGGTCCCACAGAATGGATAAAGTATGGTCCCACAGTACGGATAAAAGTAGTCCCACAGTATGGATAAAAGTATAGTCCCACATTAAGGATAAAAGTATAATCCCACAGAATGGATAAAGTATGGTCCCACAGTGTGGATAAAAGAATGATCCCAGTGTGGATAAAAGGATGGTCCCATAGTATGGATAAAAGTATAGTCTCCTTTCCTCACATACTATCATCCTCATCAAGTGCCTTGCTGAGTAGCATGAGCAATTATTCTCTGCATCTTGTGATTTCCAATAGATTGTGTAAACAAATTGTATAAAGTTGTGTGATGAAATTGTCCCATTCAATAATAAACAGCCGTCAAGTGCTTTCTCCCTATCTTTCCTCATAAATCTTTACTCTCGTTGCGGTCGTTACTTGTCTCATGACATAGACCAGGGCTATTCAGTTGGCGGCCCGCAGGCCAGATCTGGCCCATGGAGGCCTAACAAGTTGTACTAATGATCTGTTTCTGCTGGGGCTCAGGCCTCCAGTCCGTGACAATCCCCATTTTCAAAATGTTGGCCCCTGAGTAAACTTAGTTGAATAGCCCTGATTTACATTGTAATATGCAGTGTGCATGACATGGGCATGGTGGAATGGACAGACAGTCATTTGGCAGCGAGTCTCAAAGTCATTGATTCCAGTTTATATACATTGTTTACAATTGACCTTTGCTGCCAGGCTAATTAAGAGTAAAATAGGTATCAGCGTCCAACTGGTTGCTGTGCACATGACATCACATATCCAGTGCCAGTTAATTAATTTTAAAAGAAAATGTTTTGGCCACCAATGCCACTAGTGTCAAAAAGAGTTCTTTACTTAACCCTCTCACCCCGGGAAGCCTCAGACCTGGCACTTCTGATAAATTTCAATTCCCAGAGAATGCCGCCTGACAGTTCTACAGTGATGTGTTCCTAGATGCCTGACAGTTCTACAGTGATGTGTTCCTAGATGCCTAGTTAATGCTATTGGTTGATTTTTCACAGCATGTAGGTAAAGAATATATTTACACACCAAAAAAAAAAAAAAAAAAAAAAAAAAAAAAAAGAGCATTTTGAAGGTTTCCTTTTGGTCACATTAAGCGCTGTAGTGGATTGGATAAAATAACAGCAGAATACCTGGTGCCAGTAAGTAGGGGCAGGAACAGACCAACATAAAGATGGCATGGGATAGAAGTGACTCCTTGAATATAAAAGTGTATGAGGTGGGAGAGCTGGCGCGAGACTGAGTTTCCTTCAAGCTGACCATGATGATATATGCTAGAAGTTATGCTGTTAACGTTGCTAATAGTACAAAATAAATGTCATCCATGTATCACTTTATACAAGTTGTGTATCATTATTGCTGAATTCCTTGTGAGTGATGTGCCAGATTTCTAGGTCTGGACCTAGATGAGTAAAAACATGATGTAGTTTTAATTTACTCTGGTGGCAGCAGAAGCATGTTGTATTTTCAAACCTAGTTTGTCAGAGTTGATGTGGGAGTGTGTCAAATAAAAATGGGTGTGAAAAGCCAACCAATTATTCTTTTTTGTTGAGATATGTCTGTATAAGTAACCCTTTTTTGTCTGTTGAGATATGAGCAAGCTATTCCTGTCAGCTGAGATGTGAGAGTTTACCAGTCTTGTCAGCTAAGAAATGAGATTAAACCATTCTTGTCAGTTCAGATATGAGAGCAAACTGTTCTTGTCAGTTGAGATATGAGAGTAAAGAGTTCGTGTCAGCTGAAATGTGACAGTAAACTATTCTTGCCAGTTAAGATATGAGAGTAGAGAGTTCTTGTCAGCTGAAATGTGACAGTAAACAGTTTTTGCCAGCTGAGATATGAGAGTAGAGAGTTCTTGTCAGCTGAAATGTGACTGTAAACTATTCTTGCCAGTTGAGATATGAGATTAAACCATTCTGGCTGAGATCAGATAAAAGTGAGTAGACCATTTCTGTTTGTTATTCATCTCTTACTCTTTCCAGAAATCTTGCAGGTTGTTACCAAGTTCTCAGATCCTTTCCTTCTTTTTAACACGTATGAAGTTGAGGACAGTCTGTTTTCGTCCTCTGTATTTTTCAAATTATATTTTTTTACATTCTTCTCATAAACTACATCTCTGCCCGCGAGTAAATGTTTTTCAGCTTGTCTGCTTATTGTCTACGTCTCTCATGTATATAACAACTCTCACTGCGACTGACATCACCTTACTGGTGAGTATTGTTTCCATTTCAAAAAAGGCCACTTTAGCCATGGATTATATATATTTTTAGCTGATCTGTACCTGTGGGAAACAACATCTAAACTCAAAACACATGAATCACTTTATTATCAAAATGAACCCAGAGATTCTGTGTACACAGCATGAAACATTTATTCTCCAAGAAACATGGACCACAATCAAAAGAGGCTGCTTGACTCACAGACACATTTATTCAAATAACAACCACAATATTTTACTCAAGTCAAATCTGTGATGGTGTAGGAGTCTAAACCACAGAGGCTGTCTTTTGACTAAAAGGAACTGTGTTCTATGGTGCTTTTTTACATCTTCCTCTGAATGACAAGTGCCACATTTAACTGAAGAATCTGCATTTGCAGGTTATAAATATTTTGGTCTGAGGTTGTGCTTAGAAAAAAATCTGCACGGGTCACATGGGAAATACTTGATGGGAATACAACAGATCACTTTTTTCTGCAATCTAACAAACTGACGAATACATATCTGTTCATTTCTGTTGCCTTACTCCTGTTCCCCCATCTACCAGTATCAACACAAGAGTATAAACAAGATGCAACAGGTTCCTTCTCCTTCTTTCCATACTCACTGAAAATGGTTTTCAGATGATAGGGCACAAACTGCTATGGGACACAAGTCTTCCACTGATCCACACAACTTGGTAGCCATCAGAATGCTAGTTGTCAAGGCCTGGGATCTCTCTACTGCCCACAGTCAGCATGTAATCATCCTTCTACCTACAGGTTCCAACCGTCGCAACTAAATCTCAATTGCAACGTAATGCTGAACACATTACCCACCGAGTGCCGATTATTCTGTAAAAATATGCATGCTCTTCCCATGTGCCTAAGGCATGAAAAGGGATCTTTACTTTTTAACTTTTAAATCTCAATGGTCATCTTTAATTCACCGTTAACAATTTATGACAACCTACAGAATATTAATTTGTATTACTTTTGCAACGACGCAATCAAATATCCAACAACAGTCAGCTTTCTACCATCTTACGCCACTAAATACCCAATCACCATTCAGCCATCTAAATCTTACAAAACAACTAAGAAAAATATTGTTGTCGATCAATCAACAGTAATGAACATAATTCAATCTTTTTTTTTTAAAATCAGACAAAATGACGTTTATATCTAGCTTTGGTCGAATCACTTCTTCTGGGCCCTGTCTTTCTCTGCCTTGAACTCATAATAAATATCGGTGACGTCTGTCTGGGAAATCTTCTCCCATCCCGTCTGCTTCATGTGGTACACTGCAGGAGAAACAACAGCAATATTTAAACGTGATGTGTGTATATCTGTTGTTAAGTAAGTGGCTTAGGCGCTGTCAGCATGCTTCATAATTCAGATAAGCCGGGTTCGACCCCAAGCTGCTGATAATCTAGTAGCTGACCGCTTTGCGCTGGTTTGACAATGGTATCGAAAGCCAACAGTTCAAAAAGCAAAGACAAACTACTGTACATAAAGTTGACTAGTAAAATCATAAAAAAAAAAAAAAAAAAGCTGAAGTTAGTTCCAAAATGTCGTGTAATAAATAAAAAAAAAGGGGGGGTGGGGGTGGGGGGGGGGGGGGGGGGGGGGGGGATTTTATTGTAAATTACTGCAATCCGCTATTCACCTCTACCAGCTGCACAGCATCAGATAATGTGATTACGTATATGAAAAGTTACCACATATATGTTTCAGTGCAAGGGTCTTTGTTTTTTGTTTAATTATCCACTCTGTTCATGATTACTTCCCTTAATAGATTTCTTGTTTAACAAATTAGTAGGGTATATATAGCATAATTTATTAGTGGCCTGTGCCTCCCCCCCCCCCCCCCCCCCCCCCCCCCCCCCCCCCCCCCAAAAAAAAAAAAACTAACATTTTTAAGGAATTCTTGGGTTGTGGGCTATTTTTCTAGAAGGGTTTTTCTTGTTTAACAAATTAGTATATATAGCATAATTTATTAGTGGCCTGTGCCCCCCCCCCCCCCCCCCCCCCCCCCCCAAACTAACATTTTTAAGGAATTCTTGGGTTGTGGGCTATTTTTCTAGAAGGGTTTTTAGGCTGAAGTGAAGATGCTGTTAAATCTGTAATGTCATGGCTATACATGAAATATTTGAAAACAATTACAAGGCCAATGTGAAATAAACAATTCAGATCTCAGCCCCCTCCCCCTGATAACTTTAAACTATCAGCCCCAAAATTTTGTCTTGAAAAATTAAAAAAAAAAATGGCCACCTCAATCTACTAAATGAACTATTCTAAACATCTACAAAGTGAACAATCAATCAATCAGGTACTGTCTCCACAATGAGTGCTGACTACAATAAATCTCCAACATGCTCTATCTCAGTGGCTCTTAAACTTCCTAATGCGGCGACCCTTTAATACAGTTCCTCATGTTGTGGCAACCCCAAACTATACAGCTGTTGCTACTTCATAACTTCAGTGAATATGTATTTTCTGATGGTCTTAGGCGAACCTTGTGAAAGGGTCTTTTGACCCCCAGATAGGTCGTGATCCACAGGTTGAGAACACTGCTCTACCTCTTGTCTTGGTCGAACAACTCTTTCAGACTGCTGTTCATGGTAAACTGTTTTCCTCCATTTGTATCATTTTCTACATCTTGCCCTCGATCTTTCTTTCCAGTATGGTTTATAAAAGTATTTTATGTATTTTAATGTTGCTAAAATTTGCGTTTTTCTTTTGGTAATTATCTTTTCATTTGTAGTCTTTCCAGAACCTCTGTAAATGTTTCCATAAAATATAATCTATTCTTGTTTATATCCAAACACATTAGTGTTAATGTTTAAAATTCACATAGAAAGCAATATGAACATAAGTACTCACGGTTGACGACACCACCAGAGTAGGCATCCCTGTGAGTGGCATGGAAGATGGCCCGACGTCCTAAAGTATAGGCCTCTTCATCGCTCAAGTTCCAACTGTGCCCACTATCTAGCACACCGTAGGCATACACTGAGCCAGATCCCACAGAGAACAGGTCCCCGGAGAGTCGTTCTCCATCGCTGTCTACATAGTACAAACCTGGACCCTGTGTAGAGAAAACAGAGGGGAGGTGTATGAAATAGAAAAGATCGACTTTGACCTATGCAACTTACACCCAAAAAATTTTTTTTTTTTTTCAAATAAGAGGAAGATCACTACACTGGTAGAGTGAAAAAATTCTACGAACTAATACCTAGAGTGAACATAAATAATACCTATGAACGATAATTATAGGCACATAGATTGAATTCTGTGTATTTTTTATATACAATTCTGATAACACATTTCACTCTAAAGTGTTCAAAATATAAATTCACCTTACGACCAGTTCAACTTACGACCTGTTACCTGGAACAGAACTCAGTCGTTAAGTTGAGGACTTTTTACTGATGTTGGGTTATAAAGACAGGAGAGGTCTATCAGGATAATCAGTTGAGGTTCCAGCTTCACTGAAAAAGGGTCACTCATATAACTGCCCTGTTCCAGTCCCATGTGGAAAGTTAAACAAACAGCAGTCCCTGCGAGATCCACCAGCCTGCACATGCATCAAATGCATAAGGCAGCCACCAAAGGTGCCCACATCAACAAAGTCACCATAACTGCAATTCACAACTGAGGGCAGTTATGACACCAAACAGCAGGTGAATACACAACACGCATTACTGCAAAAGGCACACCACCAATTATGTGGCAGATAGCCACTCACTTTTTCCCCAAACAAGCAGCTGACAACATAGACCCAGAGCACCGAAAATAAGCACTCCCAATGGAAATCAATCCAATGTAGCAAGGGGGCACTCAACTTAGTAGCTGGCCAATGGAACTGGATGTGGCCTTTATTACCTCATTTGTTGTCCCATCCAGTTTCCGGCAGGGGGTTGAAACCCTGGATTACTTGGAAAAACTGTGTCCACCACAGGAAGGCGAGGTATGCTAACAGATATTAAGAGTCTTTTATTGCGCATCATTGCTCCATTAGGGTTCCAGAAGTACAGGATGCTCCATGTCATAAAAAAAGGGGTAGTCAACAGCTGACCCACAGAGGTCAAAATGTCACAAATCTGGATCGTCACTAGCCAGAGGTCCAATTCCCAGCACAGAAAGATCATTAATACAACTGCTAATGATCCGCAGGCCACCATTTAAATAGTCCTGTCATAAAACACACACACCCCCCCCCCCCCCCCCCCCCCCCCCCCCCCCCCCCCCCCCCCCCCCCACCCCCCCCCCCCCCCCCCCCCCCCCCCCCCCCCCCCCCCCCCGACAACCAAGGATGTAGACGTCCCGAATTATAAAATGCTTCACTGAAAATTTTCATAATTCAACTTGTTCTGGACACTTTGTCAACCATCTTCACCGTCTGTGAACAAAGAACCCAAACCTCATCCTCGCACATTTCACAAATGAAATGTCTGATTACCTTACGCTTCACAGCGACTACACAAGTGGGCAAGTTAATTCATCATCATCATTAAGGGGTTTTGCCCTACATTTTTGTGTTGGGCAGTCTGTTCCATATACTGTCATCTAGTGCCATACTGACACAGATGATCCTTTCTTCCTATCTCACAATCTCCAACAGCCCTCAACAGTTTGTATTCTGACAGTTTTCCCTGCCAGGACAATAGACTTTCAAGAATCTCAGTGTCTTCCTTCATCTTTTCCTATTTTAAGTAGTTGTTTTGATATGTATTTCCACCAGTGTTTTGTTTCTGTATGCTGACATTTTCCCTGTCAGGAAAGCGGAGATATTTTTAGCCATGTTAAACATCCATCATCAAATTTATTGAGAAACAAAGAACGAAATGGTTTGGCCATCTAATGAGAATAAAACCAACGATGCCAGCAGCAAGAGCGTACAACCTGAAAATCGAAACACCAAGAGGCAGAGGAAGAACGAAAAGAAGATGGACTTAAGTAGTCACTGACACCTTGAGACTGCATAACATCAAGGCATATCAAGAGATTGACTGCGCCCTGGCTCGGCTACTGATCGTCTGATGAACTGCGATGCCTAGCAACATAAGCAGATAAAGAATAAACACAGTGGCCTAGAAATGAAAGTGATAGAGGGCAGTTTCTCGAACTTGAAACAGAGGCAGACCTCTGCAAATGTAGATACAAAACAATGAAAATGCACTATGATAGGACACAGGACCAGAGAAACAGAGACTTGCAGTGTGCCGTGATAAGAGTGGCTTTCCGTAAAGGACCTGCTGGTTAATGTTGATGCTGAAGTGTTCTAACCTCAACAGCTACTGTGTCACTTGTGATTGTGTGTTCCTAAAAGCAGACCATTGTCCCTTCCCCCATCTGTAAATGCACTCCCTGTATTTCTACTGCCTGCCACTGTTGAAGTAAATTCATGTCTATAAGAGGGTGACACACAAAGAGCTGATGTCGGACCTATGCAGGACTTTAGTAACTGTGACAACACAGCGTTGCCGATTTTTAGTACTATAATTGTGCCACTGTTTTGATTCAAACTAGTCATTTTGAACTGTACAGAGGAACCATCATCAAATGAATGCAATAAAAGTGTCGTCAGCTGGAATGCATTTATGAAAACATGTATTACCTTCTTGTCCCATCCAACAATCATGGTACCCTGGAAAAAGAAAAAAAAAGTATGGATTAGATTACAATACCTGCTTCAGTATGTGTATCAATAATGCAGAAAAGCAATATGTATAGCAAAGGTAAAAACACTACATCTGTTGATCTATTCAATCTGTAGGCAGGATGTAGAGATGCTGAACTAGACGTGGCTTTACACTGGGAGTTGGACTCACACTCTTATCAAGATCCACTATCTACAACTCTCCTCAATTATCCTAGAGATAGGCCCCTCACTGGAAGCCTAGCCAATATAGATAGGATCAACATATCTTTCAAAGAGGAGTGCATGTGCCTGAGAGGTGAAGAACCAACAGTCTGCACATAACAGGCCACATCTGTAAAACATGCGCACGCATAATTCAAGTCCTGGAACAGTATAAAGTCCAAAAGAGGATGAATTAGGACTTCCTGTTGGAGTTTACAGCCAGTGAATGTAAAGAAAAAGTAGAAAATATACAGGCCATTCAGAAGAATCTAATGGAAAAAGAAACAAGGAAATGCACAGCTACAGCCGGACAAGGAGAGGTGCTACAATAATTACTGAAGATCAAAAACTACTTCAAAGTAGTTTTTAAAAAAAAACAGGTAAAACTATATGCCAAAATAATAATTACAACTAACAAAGAAGTGAAAATTGGACTAAAAACACCTCCTATGAGTTAGGACACATGTCATAAAAGCCAACCAATGAAGGGTTTATGCTGCTCCAAAGAAAGAGCACATCTGCCTGAGAGGTGAGAAACCAATAGTCTGCACACCAATAAATAAGCAGACCTGTAAAACAGATGTGCCCATGAAATTCCAGTCCTGGAACGAGACCAAAGGCCAGAAGTGAATGGAAAACCAGAACTTTCCATCGGAGTTTACAGCCGGTGAACGCTGAGAACCAAAGACAAGATGGAAAGATAATATCAGAGAAACTCTACAACAGCAAGGTCGAGGTGGCCTGAAGAGCAAGAAACAGAACCTTAAATCTTCCACAACACCTATGGCAATAAAAGAGGAAGTAAAGACGAAGAAGAAGGATTGAAAACATGCACAAATATTTACCATGGACAAGCCCATGCCCTTGTAGTCATAGACAATGTTTGCCAGCAGCTTTGAAGCAGCTGCCACAGATATCCTCTCTTTGTTACGCAGTTCATAGATCCTGTGAACAGAGCAGACATCAACAATTTAGAATATAATTTACAAGTGCAGCATTGTGATGCCAACAGTAAGGACAAAATATAGTTCACTTTACAAGTACAGAACTCATACAGTTCTATTTACAAGTACAGAACTATGTTGCCAAGAGTAAAGACAATATACAGTTCACTTTACAAGTATAGCACTCATACAGTTCACTTTACAAGTACAGAACTATGTTGCCAACAGTCCTAACAACATACAGTTGACTTTACACGTACAGCACTGTGTTGCCAGATGTAAGGCCAACATTCAATGCACTTTACAAGTATAGCACCATGTTTCCAACAATAAGGACAACAATCCCACACTTCATATACAACACACCTGCACTGTCTGGCTAGAGCTCTCTCCCAGAACATACAGTCGGCAGCACCTCCAGCCATGGTACCCAGAAGGTACGGGTTGATCTCAATGACCTTCTTAACCGTCTGTGACTCTGTCAACAGAAAACATATCATCTGACAACATCAACAAATCGACAACAACATGTAAACAAACATGGTGCATTAACATCATGTACAGAAATAAATACAGACTATATAATACAAGGATTAATGTGTGTGTACGTTAGTGGATATAATAAGACTGCAATCTGTGTCAATTTTACTCACAAGGTACAATGTATGTTCTTCACTCCCACAGCAACTACAGACTGACCCGTTTGCTATGAAGCTTAAACTAAGATGACCAGGAGGGATTACAAGAAGCAGGCAGAATAAAGTTTCAAAAAACATCAAGAACAATATTCATTAATCAGCAAGTCCTTTACAGAACGTCCCTGTCTTCACGGCAGGCCTGAAAGTATCCCTTTCTCTAGACAGATCTCGGGCCCCATGTGCTTTTTAATGTCAGTGCTTCTTCAACATCCTGTATCCATCTTCACGCTGGTCGATCCCTGCCTCGTCTTCCACAAACTGCACCTTCTATTACCATCTTTTCCAAGCCACCATGGCGCTGGATGTCACCCAAATACTTCAACTTTCCGGACAGGAAGCTGTTATTGAGCCAGTTCTCCCTGATGTTCAACTCGTTTAGAATGTCTATGTTTTTCCTCTTCTTGATCCATGGTATTCTAAGAATTTTTCTTCAACGTTTCAATTCAAAAGCCCCAGAACAATATAAAATAACAAATAACAATAGATAAAATCAGGAATTAGTTCATAAGAGAAAATCTCCACCCAGAACCAATTCGAATTTACATATATGGACAACAAATCGAATGGTTTGCCTACTCAGAGAGAATGCCTTGTGACTATATACTTTACAATGCACAGACTCAAAGAGGAGAAGGACGTAAATCACGAAGTAGACCAAGAACCATGAGGAAATATAACATCAGAGAAACTCTACAACAGCACGATGTGTCTGTGGTCGAGGTGGTCTGAAGAGCAAGAAGCAGAACCTGCATCTCGCTCGACACCAAAAGTGGTAAAAGAGAAAGCGAAAAAAAAAAGAAGAAACAGATCGAATAAAAATAATAATGACAAATACAATGGAGGCCAGCTCTCTAGCAAAAACTTGGTTCATTCTCACCGATCGATGGTCCAGCTGTGGCTCTGGAGTCTACAGCCACGATGACTCCATTCTGGTATTTGAAAGCCAGAGTTGTAGTGCCGTGATCAAACTGTATCTTCACCCGGCTTCCATCATCAGTTAGAGCCCTTTGTATAGTATTTTGAGCCTAAATTGTATCAATCATATGGAAATTATTACAAGTATTAACTAACTGTTATACCAGGGTACTATACTTTTAGTTAACCCTATCTTGGGGAATACAAGAGTTTCCTTGGAAAGTTCAATTTCATAGGGAGGTTAGGGTTAGGTGGTCACTAACACCACTACTCTACACTATTAGACTTTCCCCTGGAATTCCCAGGTGACTCTTGAAGTCCCAGAGATGGGGTGAACTAAAATAAAATGACCATTATTATCAGTACGTATTATTTCTAGTCTACTAAATTACTCTTCTTCAGTGATGTCTCTGCTATTTTCTTCATTTATCAGGTTATAAAATTTCAGGCTATCCTCCGAACAACAGTCCCAAATTATCGAGGCCAGAAATATACCCTAACAGGGCCTCAGTCATATGTAAATTGGGGACCTCTTTCCGGCGACTATACCGCCACCGCCGAGAGTACCCCGTGCAGCGGGGGGAGGGTGCTTAACTAGATGGCTGGGACTCACAAGCTGCAGGAGATGCTGTAGCTGCTGCTCATGAGTCCCAGCCATCTAGTTTGCCACTATGCGCGGTGCGGGAGAAACTCTCTGCGTTGACTTAAACTCGGGAAAAGCTTTTCCGCAGTATGTGATGTAGTCGCAGGAAAGAGGTCCACAATTTACATATGACTGAGGCCCTGTTAGGGCATTTTCTTAGCCTCGATACTTTGGGACCATTATTCGGAGGATAACCAAATATTGCCAGCATTGCTAGTTTTAAGTTTAATTAAAGAATGTAAAGCTTTTTATTCTAATCTTCAAGTTGACGTTCAACTCATTAAAACTTTAATACAAAATTCTCATCAAAATCTTTGTGCAGAGCTCCTCAGAACTGACTGACAGTTCTAGCAACGCAACTTGTGTTACAATTTGAATTTACAAGATAATAAGATTCAAGAGTTGTAATATTATGCCGTATTCTCCCAAACTAACTTCTCTACATATACTGCCTGTTCAGTAAATACTACTAACTTCAGTAATGGCATCCGTCAGTTCCGGGGGACTATGGAGATGTGCCGCTGGCTTTGGGAACAGCATCTGCTGTGACTGTAAAGTCCGATGCGGGAATGGCAGTCTTTGCCACACAGGATACACACAAAAGCAAATACTCCCTAGTTGTGAGGCAGTTTTACTCTCCGGTGCCTCCTCTCCACAGCTCGTTGTGTTCGGTTTCTTTCAAAATGTGACAGTCCGTCTTTCACTTTCTGTCTCCATAGTAGTCGATATGCAGCTGATTTTTTCCATGTCTCTGTGCCTATGTTGGTATCTATTAGGTCACGTTTGCATACATCTTTATAGCGCAGCTTTGGCCTCCCTTTAGGTCTATTCCCAGTCACAAATTCACCATATAGGAGATCTTTTGGAATACGACCATCCTACATGCGGGAGACATGTCCCAGCCAGCGCAGACGTCTTTGCTTCAGTATACAATACATTGATGGTATTTTTGCTCTTGTGAGCACACATTCGTTGGAGACAAGGTCTCGCCATAATATACCAAGGATGCGTCTCAGACAGCGCATATGGAAGGTATTCAGTCTTTTTTTCCAGGATTCGCAGCCGTACAGTAATGTGCTCAGGACACAAGACTCATAAACCTTCATTTTTGTATTATCAGTTAGCTTTTTGTTTGACCAGACTCTCTTTGTGACATTTGCAAACATAGCAGAGGCCTTTCCTATACGTTTGTTTAGTTCTGCATCCAGAGAATGATTGCTTAAGATACGTGAGCCTAGGTACTCAAACTCATTTACAGACAGCAGCTGATGGTCATACTCACTAATGTTTGGTGGATTCCCAACATTCAATCCCATCACTTGTGTTTTGTTCAGACTGATGGTAAGCCCAAATTCTTTGCAAGCATTTGCAAAGCGATTCATCAGGATCTGCAGATCATCCTCTGAATGTGCCACAATGGCTGCATCATCCGCAAACAGAAAATCCCTGAGGCATCTCGTGTGCACCTTCGTCCTTGCACGTAGCTTGGACAGATTAAAAAGATGCCATATGACCTCGAACGGAGGTATATCCCCTCAGTTGCTGTCCCAAATGCACGCCTCAATAATGTGGTAAAAAAGATGCCAAACAGCGTGGGAGCCAGAACACATTCTTGCTTTACTCCATTTCGAATCTGGAAGGGTCGAGATGATGAATCCTCGTATATTATGGTCCCCCTCATATTCTCATGAAAGGATTTGATTAGGCTCAGTAGTATAGGTGGGCATCCATATTTTTAAAGGATCCCGAATAGACCATCTCTGCTGACATAGTCAAAGGCCTTAGTGAGATCTATGAAAGCAATGAGCAGTGGCCTCTGTTGCTCTCTGCACTTCTCTTGTAGCTGCCTGATGGAGAAGATCATATCAACTGTTGATCTCTTGGCCCTAAACCCACACTGTGATTCCGGGTATACTCTGTCCGCTAGAATTTGCAACCTCTTTAGGATAACACGAGCAAAGACTTTTCCCACATAATTCAATAGAGAGATACCGCGATAGTTGTTACAGTCGCTTTTCTCTCCCTTATTTTTATAGAGAGTTATAATGTTGGCATCTCTCATATCCTGTGGCACCGATTTTTCTTGCCAACACTGACAGAGGATCTTGTGTAGCTAAGGAAGAATAGCATCCTTGGAGCATTTTAAGATCTCAGGTGGGATACCATCCTCTCCTGGGGCCTTCCCTGAAGGAAGCCCATCTACTGCCTCACCGATTTCTGTGACGGAGGGTTCCGTTTCTAGTTCACCCATGGTTGGCAGACACTCCATTGCATTTAAGGCCTCTTCACATACAAAGGTGCTTGTAGCAAATAGCTCTGAGTAGTGCTCCACCCAACGGTCCAGCTGCCTTGTCTGATCCTTTATGATTTCGCCCGTGGTTGATTTGAGAGGGGCAATCTTTCTTTTTACTGGCCCAATAGCCTTCTTGATGCCAGCATACATTTTCCTTATGTTGCCAGTAGCTGCTGAGGTTTGTATCCTCTCACAAAGTTTGATCCAGTAATCATTAGCGCAGCGCTGTGCAGTTTTTTGGACTCTAGACCGAATGGACCTGAGCACTTGCATATTTCTGATATTCGGCTGGATTTTTTTTCTTCTCCTCTATTATTGGCAACATTTCTTCCTTGTGTTCCTCAAACCAGTCCAGTGATTTAACTTGCCTCTTACCGAACACGGACATGGCAGAATCATTTAGGGCGTGTTTTAGATGTTTCCACCTGTCGCGAGCTTTCGCGTTTGGTAGGCCGGGCAGAGCTGTGCTCAGGATTTTTATAAAGTCTCCTACTTTTCCAGGATTACGACTTTCTCCTGTGTCAATGCGGGGCCGTCCTGGCCTCTTTGCCCGATGTATTCTGCTTGGGATTAACTTCACTTTGCTGCACACAAGGGAGTGATCTGTGTCACAATCTGCAATGTGATAGCTGCGAGTGACCTTTACAAGATGAAGGTGACTGCGTCTAGTGAGGATGATGTTAAGCTGGTGCCAGTGCTTAGATCTGGGATGTCTCCAAGAGACCTTGTGCTGGGGCTTCAGATCAAAAAAGGTATTTGTGATGCAGAGGTTGTGAAGACAGCATAGCTCAAGCAGCCTCTGTCCACTTTCATTCATTTTTCCTACTCCAAAATGTCCCATTCAGGATGGCCATGAGTTGTGCTCAGCGCCCACTCTTGCATTAAAGTCACCCAAAATGAATAGGGCTTCCCTGTCTGGGACTTCGCTGAGTGTGGAACTGAGTTCCTCGTAAAATGTGTCCTTGAAGTCGGGAGAAGAGGGCAGAGTTGGTGCATAGGCACTTATCAGAGTGACTGATCCAGCTCTTGTCTGGACCTGAATTTTAAGGATCCTTTCTGATTCCTCCTGTAGGTGGTGTGGCAGTTCCAAGCAATCGGTTCCTAATCGCAAAGCCTACGCCTAGTTCCATGGGCTCCGAATATGGTTTTCCCTGCCAGAAGAATGTGAAGTCCTTCTCTTTGATGCTACCTGAGGAGGAGAGCCGGGTTTCCTGTAGGGCAACAATGTCTACGTTCAAACTGGACAGTTCATTGTTAATGACTGCAGTTTTCCTTACATCGCTCATATGCTGCAGATCGTCCAGAATACCAGGTGTCATGGTCCTCACGTTCCATGTGCCCAGCTTTAGAGCTGGGAATCTGATTTTTTGGCTTCTTTGTGTAGGTAAAAGGATTACAATCCGTATGTCGGGTTATCCCCTAAGCCCTGTGCACCCAACAAGGCAAACGGATCGTGGCGGGACAACACCTTACTGACTGGGGGCTGCCCAGCTGAGGCGGGCGGTAGCTGTCCAATGAGACTATACTACGATGGTCTCTCCCACCGTCGGAAACAACCCCTGGCGCCTAGCTCTACGCCAATTGAGCAAAGGCTTATAACCGGTGACTGCTGTTTCCCGTGTTGTGTCGAAACTGTTAAGCATCGCTGGAGTGAGCTCTCCAGGGCACAGGCCAGGGCGTTTTGATTTGGAGTACCGTTTTCTTCGATCGATCGGGCACTTCCGGAAACGGAACGGGCTGGGTTGCTACCCATAACAATGTCCGTAAGTTGTCGGTGAATTTTTTCACGATGATGATTCGTTATACACATTCGGGAAACCTCGGGGATTCCGACGAGCTATATATAGCCCAAGTCAAAGCAAATTGGTTGACTTTCACATTCCTCGTGGTCTGAAAGCATTTGATCGTGTTTTGCTACTGCCGATCGTGTTTGAATATATAGCGGTAAGTAGCCACATTATTTGATAGCGTTCAACGCATTTAAACGTAATATTCTTGTAATTATTCGATTCTCTGTCCAATTTAACTTTAGTTTGTAAAATTTTATTAGTATATTCTATGGGGGTGATTTGCAGTGGGATTTTCAAGATGCGATCCTGAAACCATCGTGGGTGAAGAAATTGGCGTCCATCTTGTTGCTTTAGAATAAGCCTTCAGCGTGTTTTAATTATCGG